TATGACGCTTGGAGCACAGTCATCATCACTCGGGTAAGAGACATGGATTGTAGATGGAGAGCTAGGATATAATAAAAAATTTATATAATTTATATTATAAATGATTGTATAATATTGCAACCAATAACATATATAAAAGGATATATTTATTATCTACTGGCAAAAGCAGAAAGTAGATGGTTTCTAAATGTAAAGGGAAGACTACTACTATATCATCGATCACTTGGAGTAGAAAAAGTACATAAAAATGACAGCAAATGCGCAGAACATAAAAGTGATCACATGTATAATACATCAGATGCAAGATAAAAATATTTGATTTGAAAGAATAAAATCGAGTCCCACATAAGAGAAATTTTCCTTGAAGAAACGAAAATAATAATGTGGTGCTATAGAAACTATAAATTACATATTTTTAATTTTATTTCCGAAATAATAAATTTATGACCAGCTGAGAGCATTAATTTTCATAGCACGTAAACAATTTAAACTTGACTTTCAACATGATTTATAATGAGCACTGACTTCTAAATTGCCGTAAGGATCATTTCATTTTATCTGTAGGAAAAATACCAAATTTCTAAATAATACAAAAATTTAAATAGAGAAAAACAACTATTCTGATATAACTTGAAAATTTTGACTCAAATATCTTTTCTCTTTATACGTGTGTACTAAAAATTTTACCTAAAAAATTAAGGATAACCAATTGGGTTGCCAATGATAATGGTCCTAATTGTTGTTCAAAAAGCAATAAAAAATGAGTGCGCGTAAGATTCACACGCGGTTGAAGTAAAACTTTTTTGCTATCGTATGAGATGGCATTTAAGTTAAAAATAAATACAACATATAACAATTTTCATTCATTGACTGATGGTAGTATTTTTTTTACATTTTTGTTGGCGATATTATCTCATTCTTTGAGCAGCTGTAATATTTGTCTTACCTAAAATATTTTCTATTTTAATAACTTTAAAGACTTATAAAAACTACGAATAATATAGAAATCATTTTTAATCAATAATCTTACATTTAGTTCACGAAACAAATGTGTAATTTATTTTATTATTTTCAAAGAACATGGTAAAATATTCTTCTGATTCAGGCATTTTTCATTAAATCAAGGTTTGTATTACGATGTAACTTTAAAATGCTTATTTATCTATGCCGATTTGCTTGTTGATATCGGTACGCATACAACGTTGATGCCGGTACGCATACAACGACAGATCTCTATTCGTATAGAAATGATATCATCGAGAGCGAATGACGAACAGTTTGGGCGTAACGCAATTTCCGTTGCATTTTCACTAATTTACGCCCTAGTCGCGCCTAAAGAAGTTTGACTCCAAAAAATCATTGTTTTGTCAATGAATTTCGAGTTGGCTTTGGCGTGTGAAAACCAAAATAAAAGAATTGTGACTTGTCGACAGATTTTATTTAATATAGATTTATACTTTCTACAAACATTATTTTTACTGAATACTTCTTTACATGTCGACGAAATTAGCACATTTTTTTCCTAATTTTTATTAAAGTTCAGTTCAATATAAATATTTTAATAATTTCTTAGAATTTATATTGGAGTATAATTGTATATAAATATGTCAGGACGATGACTCGAAGGCTCACAGTCAAATATTTATAATTCCTGATAAGCAAATAAGTTGTATATATAAAAAAATATTACATTGCAAATAAGAATACCCGCGAAATATGCGTCAATACATTGCAGATAGTATTTATCAAAATCGTTCATTATTTCCTGTGATATATATATATATATATATATATATATATATATATATATTATCCTCGTCCAATCTAATAGCATATTGAAGACGAATCCACCGACATATTTTTATATGAGAAATCCTGAAGTAAATCTTCATCCTCATCCATTTCTTGTCCTACCAAAATATATATCACTATAGCAATGAAATAACCAGGTCAACAACCCCAAAATTCGTACACATGGGATACAAGGGGTTGGAATCCCTTTTGTTATAAAAAGAACTACTACACCACTGTACTGGTGGGAAACTAACTACTTGTAATATCGGAGATGGATACTGAGATATATTCAATGAGATGGTTTAGAATTGTTAGAAAAATGAAAAAAACTAATGGTGTATGGCATCGTGCCTTAAGGCAAATTGCTGGAACTTTCCGTACCGTAATGAAATATTCGAGAAATTTTAAACGTTTTCGAACATATTATTACAAATACTGTAACTTTCATTATTTTTGCTATCTTGTTATATCTGAGAAAATCAAATGTAAATCATAAATCCAGAACATTAACAATCGTCATTTCATTTCGCATTCAATTTCAAAAAAATATTTAGCTAATTTTGCACAAAATTGAAAAAGTGCTCCCGTATAGTCACAGTCTAAACGCATTTGCAAATAATTCTGTGCGACATTTTCACTTTACTGTGCTTAGCTTGGCGGCATTTTCACATTTTTCAATAGTTTTCACAAAATTGGAAAAGCTCATCACAAGTGCTCCCGTACATAAACAGTCTAAACGCACTTAGGTAAACATTTGTACCAGAGTGTCGCTTAGACTGTGCTTAGCCTGGGTAATTTTTTAAATTTTTAATCCAAAATTACAAAGATATTTTTTGGAAAATAAAAAAAGATGTAATAATTTTTTATCCCCAAAAGCAATTGTTTTGTCAATACAAGCAAAAAGTTTTTTTAGATCATTCAAATCGGACGCTTAGTTCACTCAAAAACTGCCATTTTTTGCACATTTAGCTCAGTATCTTCGAAATGGCGGGACCTGTCTTTGCCAAAAACTAATCACCTCTTCTCCCAATCATTACAAATTGAATGTTTTTTTAGATCATTCAAATCCTATGCACCGTTCTCTCAAAAAACTCGATTTGAATTTTCTGCACCTTTTTGCTCTTTATCTAGGGTAGGCAGGACCTACCTTCGCCAAAAACTAGTTAGCACATCTCCCTATCAATAGGGATTGAATGTTTTTTAAACCATTCAAACCATTTAGTTTCTGAGGTATGCCAAAATGTTCAGAAACCTTCAAAACGTCGAAAAATGCAAAAATTTTCATTTACGATTTTCGGCCCATTACTATAACTCACCCTACGGGAGGTTAAATATGTGTATATACATTAGGGTGGTCCTTAATATGGACATGTTCAAATTGTATTACTACCGAGTTATTGTTACTTGAAAGGAGAGAAAAACAAGTTAGAATAGAACAAGAAAAATACTTTAGAATTCACTCCTTTTGCCCCTTTGTGAGTTCTGAAATTCACTTCACCCAAGTATTACAAATTACAATTTTACTTATTACATCGATTGTCTGTATTTTCCTATCAAACATGTTTTGGTCATGACATTGAATTTTTTGCCTGAAGCTATTGATTAAAAATGTATGGAATATTCTGTTCAGCATTCGGATTGTTGAGACGTTATTAATATTGAATCACGCACCTGTAATTATGATTCATATGGACAATAATTTTATTTCATTCATTGTTGGTCGTTTTAAGTGATTTTTTTTTCAGAAAAATATAATAAAAGACTCGCTTGTTAGATATATATTTGAATATTAGGGTGGTTCTTAATATGGATATTTTTGATATTTTTGCTTCCAGGTGATTCCAAATTGATAAAAAAAAAAAAATTTCTAGCTCTTAATATTAACTCTAACATGGTCCGCACTCCAACGAAAGTTTCTTGGTTCTATGATTTGGTATATTTATTAAAAATTTGGTACTGGTATATAAAGTAGCTCATATGAATTTTTAGTAAATTTTATCTAGTTTCTGCTAAGCTAAATACATCACAGTGCGCAAAACAAAATTTTCATGTAATTCATTCAAACGTAAAAAAGTGTCCCGAATCCATGTATTTCTCAATACATAACATCGAGTTCCCATAGTTCAATATTTGAAAAAAAAATGTATTGGGGCATATAAAACAGTTTATACAGTCTATATATACATTAGGGTGGTCTTTAATATGGATATTTTCGAATTTCTTTGGTTCCAAGGTGTCAAATGCTTCCAAATTGACTCTAAAAAATCTCTAAAAGTTTTAGCTCTTATTATTAAGTTTTAGATAGTGCGCAATTCAATCAAAACTTCGTATGTAAATAGCATGGAAAAAATTCGAAAATTTTGAAAATGTTTTTTAGGTAACGCCCCTTGGCGGTCAAAAATGATCATTAGACATATGCACATCAAATTATCAGATATTTGATAAAAATTTTAAAAATGTGTACTAATTTTGTTGGGTTCCGTACCAAGATTGTTAATTTTTAAAGTTCACTCATACGGTTCAAACAAATTTCAAAATTTTCAGAATTTTTTTCTCAAAATTTTCTAAAATATACAAAGTTTTATACTTGAAATATGAATTTTAAATTTACAATTCAGCTTAAAAATGTATATATTTCAAATGAGTTATTCTAATCGTAAGAAATATATCCTCAGATGGATTCATTCGGCACCTCTTGCTAATGTAAACTTTCTCAAGTATTTTGAGCGATAAGATCGACAATTTTATGAACGATAAAATATATAGTGATTATAATTATCAATTTGAAAATGTTTAAAACAATTGTTATTGATCATTGATCAATATTTATTGATTACTGATTTTTTTCCTCGAATATTTAATTCTGGTACGGAAAGTCCCAGCAATTTGCCTTAAGGATTGCCACGATGCCATGCACCACTAGTTTTATACATACATTCTCTCTATGTAGGTATTATACATACTTTCTCTGTATTATATTTAATTTAGTGTTATTATTTTTAGTATTTGGTATTTCCATTTTCAGACAATGAATTGGTAAATTCATTGTTTCTTAGCATAGACAAGTAGAAAATATTTCATAATGATAATAATTAATACCTACGAGATAAGATAAGCAATATGAAACTGTAATAAAATAATATACCGTATAACAGTCTCAGATGAATCCTGAATCTAAAAACATGTTTTATTTCGAAGAAAAGACCCCAAAAAACCCAAAATGTGAAGACAAAAGTTGTAATAAGTGAAAACAAGTTGAAGGCATTTTTTTATAATGATATAATGTAATAAAAATGTGTAATAACTTTATCACGAGGACAAGAACTATATTATAATTGAAGACAAGTAGAAAAAATTCAACAATTATGAAAGGTAGGATAACTAGTTGTAAGTGGCATTTTGCCTTAAGGTAAGTTGAATGAACTTCCCGAAATTGGTAATAATTGACTTAATCAACCGAAATTGAGATTTAGATATTTAGATGAAATTAGTTCAACTGCACTATTACATATATCATATACGTAGTTCCTGATATTATTAACTTCCCGTAGGGTAAGTTATTGTAATCGTCCAAGAATCTAAATTGAAAGTTTTTATATTTTTTCACGTTTTGAAGGTTTCTGAACATTTTGGTAATCCTCAGAAAAAATTGATGTGTTTGTGTGTATGTATGTATGGGTACAATTTTTCGTCCACGTTTTCGGGCGCGCGGATCAACCGATTTGAATAATTCAAAAAACATTCGATTCCTATGGTTAGGGAGATGTGCCGATTAGTTTTTGGCAAAGGCAGGTCCAACCATTACGGAGATTCGGAGCAAAAAGCGCAGGAAATAGAAATCGAGTTTTTGAGAGAACGGAGTATCCGGTTTGAATGATCCAAAAAATATTCATTTTGTAATGATTGGGAGAAGTGGTGATTAGTTTTTGGCAAAGGCAGGTCCAACCGTTTTGGAGATACCGAACTAAATGTGCAAAAAATTGCAGTTTTTGAGAGAAATGAGCGTTCGATTTGAATGATTGAAAGAACTTTCTGCTTGTTTTGATAAAACAATTGCTTTGGGAAAAAAATATTTTCTAATTAAGTTCTAATATACTTTAATCAAATAATTTCAACTTTGCAATTGAGTTCATATAATTCTTATAAATATTAGACAATGTTACAATATTATTGATAATCTATTTGAAAACATTTAATATTGCTCGCACATTTCCTTACGGTACAGGAAGTTCCAGCAATTTGCCTTAAGGCACGATGCCATACACCACTAGTTTCAGAAGGACTTCAAACGTCGAGAAAACATAGAATCACAAATAGGATTTTATATAAAACATAAACTGCTCCTTCGGAAAGTTAATAAATAATATAAATATTGAAAAAGTATAAAATTTATTAGAAATTTATTAGAAAAATAGAATTAGAAAATTATAGGTTGATTTTTGTAAATTACGCAAAAACAATGTTATCTATACCGATAAGATAAAACAAACACTGTGATGTGAATTATAGTGAAATATTATATTAGACTCCAAACAGTCTTGCATATTGTTTGATAAAGAAAGCACATTTTTAGTGAAATTTGTCGTTCTGGTACACAAGTGTGGTATTATATAATAAAAATAGACTCGATCTATAATCCAAGACCAAGCATATTTTACACAAACGATTAAAATATACATAATTTAAACTGCATTTTTCACTAAAATTAATGCACATTATAACTAAACCAATTAGTTAAAAACAATTAAAACTAAAAAATAGTAAAACTTACCTTTCAATATTTCGTGGACTATTATTACGACACCTTTCCAGTAATCCAAGATCCGAATTATTTATTTGTACACCATTATATTATTTTTGATATTACACAATCTTAACACAGATTTATTTAGTGCAAAAACACACATACAACAATCGCTCGAAATTTTATTAAAAGTCCGTTTCGGATTTTCTCACAATATACTCCGAATACAAGCGGAGTATATTGATTTGTTTAATTTAACAAACACTCTTATTATTTTAAGCACTGTAGAGAATTTTAATAAAAAATATAATGAAAATAACGGGATTTAATACACTGAAAGATGTCCGAAAATCTATAGACGTCAAATGAATATAAGAACGAAGTAAGAGGAATGTTGTGTGTTAGAACGGTGTTGCCAATTGGAGAATGTTTAACAAACAAAGATCTTTCTGGCATTCTCAAAATAACATGGACGACGTTTACCGATTTGAAATTTTGTTTAGAAAATAATAAACCACCCATTAACTACCATTGAATATTTATAAATTTACTTTAGATTCATTAACAATATTTTATTTGTACACATTTTTATATTTTTTTGCAGACTTATAAGGAAGAGTTACTAACTTCACGAAGGAGAAGTTTATGTTTCCGCCAAAAAATCCGATTGGCTAATTTTTTTTGGCTATATATATTATGTCCTTCTTATATATTACATATTATATATTATTGGCTATATATATTATGTCTTAATATTACGGCCCTATGACTGGCCTTTTAATTTTATAAATTTATCAAAGTTTGAAAAAATGAGTAGCGTCAAATTAGACCTATTATCTACATTTTCTCAAAAACGCCTGAACCAATTTCAAAAATTTAAAAACTTAATAAGAACTATCGTTTATCACTTTTGCGCGTCGATAGATCGAGCCGTTTCTTTGTAATTAGCAGAAAAAAAATAATCCGTCCACGTTTCAACCAAAAACTCTAAATCGATTTAAAAAAAATCAGAAACTATTCGAAAGGTATTATTTGTGCTGATTAATTCTGGACAAAAATTGGCCGAGCCGTTATTGAAAGCGAAAATTTATTTTCGAAATAAACAGTTGAAAATATTATCTAAATATCTAGATTTCAATTTCGGTTGATTAAGTCAATTCTTACACATTTCGAGAAGTTCATGCAACTTGCCCTAAGGCAAAATGCCACTTTCAACTAGGTATAATTTTTTCACATTTTGGATAATCAGTTACAAAAAATGTAAAATTTATTATTACCATAGATTGAAGAATCTGCAGTTTGAGAACATGTGTAAACACAAAACTTCTAGATGACATCTGCCAAATTCTTAGGTTATGTTATGGAAATAATAATTTTTTCTAAATAATTTTGTATTGGATGTTTTCTATGATATGCGAAAAGAAAAATACGTGAATTTATATATTTTTCTGGTTTATATCTTGTAATCAATAATGTCGTGTCAACCTTCTACAAGTAAGCATGTATTTCATTCAAATTATAATGTATATAAAATAAATACAGTGGTAACCCGGTGTACGAGTCTATTTAGTGTCTTAACCACGCTCGTATGTCGAGTTGCTCGTAACTCGAAGCATTTTTTTCATATAAAAATATTCAAAGGCCATTAATTCGTTTTAGCACTGTGATTTTTGTTAGGTTTTTTAAGGTTAAAAATAAATTAACTATTGACTAATCTAATTATTACTTCTTTCTGTGCATTTATGGTATAGCAAAAATGATTTAGACATCATTGAACGACTCCCATGTTTGAACTGTTGAAACTTTTTCAGGTTGATTTTTGTCAACAATTTTCAGATAGGTTTTTATAAATTGTTGCAAGACCCTTAGCTGGAGTTATACCCTTTATCATGCCTTTATTATCTCTGTATTTAAACACCAAACATATCTATGGGGGTCATCCTCATACTATTCAATAATTTTACACTTTAGCTCAAGAGATATGGCCCTTTTGTTTAAACCCACATTTATAATATATAACTGTATAATATCAATATTAATGTATAGTCAAAATTTCAAACGTGAATTTTTTTTTTCAATATACTCAAGTGGGTAAATCGTTCCTACACAATTAATATTAATATATAATTGTAATGATTATAAAATAATTTATTACCATACAACAGCCAGAATATTTTGATGCTAGGAAAATCATTGTTATGAGTGATGAAATTTTTCATTTTTCCTTTTTGCCATTAACATTTTTCTCGAATACTTTTACTTGCTTAAATCTTGTATCTCAAATTTTGCTTGAATATCAAGTCTGTATTATCTGCTTGATGCAACATAATGAGTTGTTTTGCAATATCTACAGTAATATCCACTTTAATTTTAAATGTTATTCATATATATACTAGATGACCTGACAGACATTGTCTTGTACCCACGTACACAACTTTTTAATATCTTATACTATTATTTACCATTTAGCTAAAAATAATAATTATTGTCAATCTGCCATACATATACTGTATCTTATATTATTTTAATTTCTGGTACAACTCAACTGCGTTTTGGCAATAATAATGTAGATATTTCATTTTTCTTATTCATAATCATGAATTTATAATACACATTCTAATATTGTCTAGGCTCATAAGTAAATTGAAATTTTTGGCACATGCAGTTTTCATTTGTTTCCAATGCCAGATAATGAATGTCTCAGATATTTTCAATGTCCAAAAATGACATGTCGTTTTTTGCATTTTTTTCCATAATGTTACTATATTTTTAGAATCACATACATCCAAAAAAATTCCCTTAACAAACTTTAGAAAGATTTATCAAAATCCGAATGACCGTTTAGGAGGAGTATCTTTTCATACATTATTACAGAAGAATTTTATATATGAGATATACACTTCTTATATGCAATTTCAAATCAATTCAAATCTATTTCAATTTTCCCTCAATATTTCAAATTTTTGAGTCAATGTCAAGGATCGATCTAAAGATCGCTGGCGAATGAGTTTCAATTGAAAATAAAAGCTCTATTAATTTCCAGGTTCATCAATGCAAAATGACGATGACAAAACCAATAACGACAGCAGCTTTGAATTTGATAACGATACCACAGGTGCAAATGCAACTGACTTAAATACTTCAACAGCTGATTCCGATTGCCTGGATGAAGATTCAGATTCTAGAGAAGCCGCTTTAGCAATCGAAGAAAATTTACTAAGAGACGATAACAATGAGGATACAGAATACAATACACCTGAGAAAACTGTTAAATTCGCTGAGGAACATACAGAAATTAAAATGGAAAGCCCTGATATCATCTTACCTCAGTTATCGGATGAAAACATGACAGCAGAACAGAGAGAAATTGAGGCTGAGAAAGAAAAGCGTAGGGAGCTGAAGAGCAAACGGGAACTTGAGGAGGAGGAATGTGAAAAGATGCAGTATGTGCCTGAAATGATAAAACTTGTTAACAGATTTAAGGGTAATTGATAATTAATTTGTTTAGAGTTCTAGTTTCTAACTTCACTGAAGAGCAACTTAATAGATATGAAATGTACCGGCGATCAACATTTCCTAAAGCAGCTGTTAAAAGATTAATGCAAACTATTACGGGATGCTCAGTATCACAAAATGTTGTTATTGCCATGTCGGGGATAGCAAAAGTTTTTGCTGGGGAAGTTGTCGAAGAAGGTGGGTAAAAATCAAACAATGATCAAACAATATTCTATTTTATTATTGATGAGGTTGATAGAAAATTTATTTGGAATTCTTTTTTATTTCTAGCCCTTGATGTAATGGAAGAGATGGGTGAAACGGGGCCACTTCAACCTCGCTTTTTGCGCGAAGCAGTCAGAAGACTTCGAAATAAAGGTCAAATACCAAAAGGCAGGGCTTACAAAACAGCATATCGATTGTGAATGCATCACAGAAAAATTTAATATGAACTAGATAAATAAGTTTTTTTATCCTTATGAAAATATTACATCCAATTAAATTTTATGGTGGATGATAGTAATAATTTAATCTTAAAATTGGAAGAATATTAGTTGAATAATGGTTTATGATGAGTATATTATGTTTGTAATATAAATATGGCTCAATTTTTTTGTATGTTATTTACTTGTAAAATTAATTCAATAAAATGATTTTTTTTTATCAATTGTATGATATACTTATGTTTTTCAGGATACTGTATATTTTATTATAATTAACTTCCTGAAGGAGAAGTTTATGTTTTCATCGAAAAATCCGATTCGCTAATTTTATGTTTTCTCGACGTTTCAAGCCATTCTGAATCGAATGAGACCAAATTTGGAAAAATGTGTGTGTGTGTGTGTGTATGTGAACAGATTTTTTGCCGTAAATCGACGTTTTCTCAAAAACGGCTGTACCGATTTCAAAATTTTAAAAGCCATTTGATGTATCTCAATCTCTATCGTTTGTCAGTTTTGTGCCACGATCGCCCGAGCCGTTTCTTTGTAAATCGCAAAAAAGTGAAAAAAAAAATCCGTCCAAGTTTTGGTCCGCAATTCTGAATCGATTTTAAAAAATCAAAAACTGTTCGAAGGATATTAATTGGGAATGATACTGAAAATAGTTTTAGGCGAAAGTCTACCGAGCCGTTTTTTATAATTAACTGTTTATAAAAAATTTAAGCCGATTTTCACGGAACTTTTTTTGGCAATAAATATATATATATATATATATATATATATATATATATATATCATAGTCTTATAGAACTTACTGAAATATTACGGCATTACGACAAGTAGTTTAATGTTAAAAATTCATCAAAGTTTGAGAAAATATTATAGTCAAAATTAGTGTCAAAATAATTAATATAATTACAATTAATTTAAATATGTTTGAGAAAATTCTATTCGAAATGGCAATGTTTAGATTCAATTGAAAGCGATGACTTTATTTGAGAAATAAACAGTTGAAAATTTTATCTAAATATCTAAATTTTAAATTCAATTGATTAAATCAATTCTTACACATTTCGGGAAGTCATGCAACTTGCCTTAAGGTTAAATGCCACTTTCAACCAGTTTTCATCAACTTTACGATATTCTGATGTTTTTTAAGATAACGTATATTTTATTATAAATTTACCAATAATTATTTATTTCATAAGATACCGTGTATTTTATAATGAATTTACCTTTTTTATTCAATGTAAATTATTTAATTTAAATAAAAACTGGTTATCAAGTTTTATATATATAAAATTGTTTTACTGTAGAGAAGTACATATGTTTAACACAACCGCCTAAAGTGCTACAAACAAAACTAGTGGTGCATGTTATTGTGCCTTAAGGCAAATTTCCGTACCATAAATTAAACTTTCTTAAATGAACTACAAAATCCCCGGGACCTGTCTTTCCGAAAATTGTATCAGTCATTTCGCCAATACAAATAAAATAATCATTGAAATCGGACGTTCAAATTACCATTTTTGGCACCTATGGTTTTGCCTTTGCCAAAAACTAAACTAGCACGTCTCCCCATCAATACGAATCGAATGTTTTTGTATTACTCAAATCCGTGTTTCCGAAATCGCCGACGAAAATTTGTATCCGCATACAAACAAATATACATTATTTATAAGATATACCAAAATGTTGAGAAACCTTTGAAACGTAAAGATATATAACAAGTTTCATTTTCGATTTTTCGGGATTACAATTTTTGGTATAAATTTATTGTCTTAACAATTGCATTTACAATTTAAACTGCGCATTCACAAAATTACTTTCATAGAAATACATACACATATCATGATCAGTATTTAAAATATAAAGTTTTTACCTCAATACCTTCTTGCTAACTTAAAAAAACAAAAAGAGGCTAATTCTCTGTTTAAATCTATATTACATAATCTTTAAAAAACGGTGCCAAAAAGAAACTTTATAAAACAATATTGATTAAATTATTTTCATAAATATTTAGAAGCAACATAATACACCTACGTGTAAGTCCAGTTTAAAATTTGAATTCCTTATATTTCTTAGCTTGTTTACCATCCTGTGTCTGTTGACGTTTCCTTTTAGTTTTCTGTTTGGCCACATGTTCAGCCAACATGTCCGATAAATCTTCCTTCTGCAGATGGCTTTGTTGTTCCTTCAATTGTTGCTCATAGCGCATGGCCATGGCATCGTTATCCATGTCCAACTCGGATGGATCCAATGCTAATTCTATGGCACCTTCCTTCTCAGAAACATTTTGAATTCCACCACGTTTTGAAGCTACAGAAGAAAAGATATTATGAAAAAAAGTGTAGTGGCATAACTGAAGTTGTATAAATTACTGCACTTACCAATAACGCTGGGTGGTTGAGCACCTCCAGCTCCTGTCATGTCATATACGTGAGTAGATCCCATCATTGCTGAACCGATGCGATCAGTCCTGCGTTCTGGTAGAACTTGATACAGTACTGGTGTCTCTTCGCTAAAAATTAGAACAAAATCGTAAATAACTAGTGGTGCATGGCATCGCGCCTTAAGGCAAATTGCGAGAACTTCACGTACCGAAAACTAAATTATTAAGAAAAACTTCAAAATTTTGAAAAAAATAGATTTTTAAGAAGTTTTAAAATTTTTGAATAAATTTGACTTTTTTTTGGATTTTTTTTCTGTATTCTGATTTATTTAAAAACGCAAGATAAATAAAATTTTTCTTTTTTTTGCGATTACTAACCTATTACTAATTGATATACACATAATGAATGTAGATCGAATCACTTAAATAATGATCATCTTTCAGGAACTTTTAATATTATTCACTTCCCGAAGGAGAAGTTTATGTATTCATCAAAAAATCTGATTTGCTAATTTTATGTTTTCTAGAAATTTCAAGTCATTCCGTATCGAACGAGAACAGATTTGAAAGAAGTATATCTCTCGTCAAAAAAAAAGGTTCATAAAAATCAGCAAAACAATTTTTCAACAATTAATTTCAAAAAAATTTACCTAAAACTCATCAGTATCAGTATCAACCAATATCTTTCGAACGGTTTTTGAATTTTTAAAATCTATTCAAAATTGCGGGCTAACACGTGGACGAAAAATGTTTCACTTTTCTGCTATTTACAAAAAAACGGCTTGGCCGATCGTCGCGCAAAATTGTCAAACAATAGTCCTCATCGAGATACATTGAATGGCTTTTAAATTTTTGAAATCGGTCCAGCCGTTTTTTCAGAAAAGGTCGATTTAAGGTAAAAAATCTATTCACACACACACACACACACTTCTTCCAAATCAGTTTTTTAAGAAGAACCAAAAAAGACAATTTTTTTAAAGAAGCCGCCATTTTGTCAAAATTATTTTACTTATTGCTTCGGTTAATTACTAGATTTATCTTTTTTTTTAATGAAATCTTTTTGGTTGTATAATTTCACATGATTTACTTCAGAGATTGAGTGGTCACCGCAAAACCTGTTTTCGAGACTTTCGAGACATTTTTACTTGCGATTTTTTTTAAAATATAGTTAAAAGATGCCTTTATATGTGTCCAAATTTTTGTATCCATAGATTTAATAGTTTTCACAGGAAAAATTCTTAAAAAATAATTTTTTTGAACGATTAACTGTATATAACACCTTAAGCAAGGCAAAATGCCACTTTCAACTAGTTTTAATATTATTTAACAAAATCTTATAGCGCTTAGACTTACGGCAAAAATCTGAATTTTTTATTTTTACAATTCAATTGCTTATCATAAGCCTATAATATTTTAGTGTTATTTTAGACTGCGAAATCTATCGTTGTACAAAGTTTCGTGAAAATCCTGAAAACAGAATTTTTCCACATTTAATTATGAAGAAGGCCCGGCTGATATTTACCAAAAACTATTCAACACAACTCCCAAACAAGATCGATTAAATCAATTAAAAATTGTGGGCTAGAACGGGAACGAAAAATTTTACACTTTTTTGCTAATTACAAAGAAACGACTCAGCTGATCGTTGAGCAAAACTGATAAACGCTAGTTTTTATTGAGAAACATCAAATGGCTTTTACATTTTTAAAATCGGCTCAGCCGTTTTTGAGCAAACGTCGATTTACAGCGAAAAATCTGTTCACATACACACACACACATACTTTTTCTAAATTTGGTCTCATTTGATTCAGAATGAATTAAAATGTAGAAAAATCGGTTTTTCTTGGGGAAGTTAAGAGTATAATAAACATTTGACTAATTTTACAACTTACCCATCCATATCATTTTCAATCTTCTTCTTACGAAGTTCTATTGTCTCTGGAGTCTCCATTCCAGCAGGAATAGAACTAAATCCTGAAGGTGTTACTAATCCTAAAATTAAAAAAAAAAAAGATTTGTTGATAGAAATTTAAAGTGTATGAAGAAGAAGCTCAAGAAGAAAAGAAAATTATTCACATAGAATTGTAATGAAAAAAAAAATTCAAAACAAGTCGCATAACAAATGTTTGAGAATTGAATAATGCTAATTCAATAGATAAAAAATTCATTAATGTTTACCTTCCGCCGGTGTTATTAAGCCAGTCTCATCTGGCTTCTCCGGTGCCTCTTCTTCTTCCTCCTCTTCAGTAGAAGATTCTTCAGATTCTGATTCCATTTCTCCCCAGGCGGTTTTATCATTAATGTTTACCTTCCGCCGGTGTTATTAAGCCAGTCTCATCTGGCTTCTCCGGTGCCTCTTCTTCTTCCTCCTCTTCAGTAGAAGATTCTTCAGATTCTGATTCCATTTCTCCCCAGGCGGTTTTATCAATTGTGGATTCATCAATATTCTATAAATCATTAAAACAAAAAGAAAATTATATTAATTAAAAATTACTCAAATATTAGCAAATATATTTTTATTACCTCATCGATTTCTTGAACCACTCCAAAGACATCACCATATAACGGTCTTCCTTTTTCATCAACAGGTGGCTTACCCCAACCTCCAGTGTGGTAACCGAAAGCACAGCCATCTGGAATTGGTGCATTCAAACCTGGTATTTTCAAACTGGGATAACTCGGGGGAGGACCGTAACGTTGCTGAGCGATTAACCATGGTGGAGGAATCTAAATAATTAAATATGAAAATTATATGATCAATTGATATGTAGAAAACTTCCTGAAATTTTAAAATTAAGTAGAGTGGAAGGGTTGTTAGCTTACTTTATTACTGCCAGGTCCAATAGGCATTCCCAAAGCTGTTTTTAGTTCTTCTGACAAATCACCAGGTTTCTTTTCTTTTAATCTCGTTTCATATTCCTTTCCTTCATAATATAAATCACCATGAATAGTCATTCGTGGTTTGGTTTGCCATCTAAAAATATGTAAAAAATTTGTTAAATGTATAAAATTAGTAATAATATAAATGTAGGTAATTTTATTGTCCATACTTAAAGAAAGCATCATGTAGTTTCTGGTAATCAATATCAATCCTTCCCATTTTTGGTCTGGCCCGTTCTCGCATTTTAGACTTCAGTGACCTGGACTCGTCCTTATCTTGTAGCGATGCTCTCATTTCCATAATACCAGTGCGCTTTATAAATGCTGGTAAATCAAAAGCAGGCTTTTCAATTCCTCGCTTACCTTGTAGATACTGAAATAAATTGAAAATCAATACAATATAATAATTGTATAATATAATATAATAAATCATATAAAATTTAGATAACCTTTCTTTTAAAACACCAATGCCTTGGTACTTGAACTGTATTCCTATGTGCTTTCAATTGCACCAGCAATTTAGGATCCCGGGCTGTAACATCATGCATTTCGACAACATCAGGTCTTGAAACAAGCTGTTTTAATTCAGCAACTGATAATCTGGTTAATTTTTTCAATTTTCGTTTAGACAGTTTTTCTTTATCCTCAATGGGTGCCTGATGATAAAACATATGACATCAAAAATGTGTATTTTGTAATTGAAATTGTAATTATATATTTTAAATAATATCTGCTTAAACAAAATACCTCATCCATATCATCTTCATCAACAAAGTTATCTTTCGTTTTCATATCTCTTTTCTTTTCAGCTTCCAGCTTCAAATTTTGTTCACTGGCTTTAAGAGCTTCGGCATGTTTTTCTGCTATTTTAAAAGCAACAAAAATTTTGAAAAACTGCCTATGCATTGGTGCTAATTCGGTAATGTTTATCATTTCCTGAACATATCTGCAAAAAGATGATTTTAAAGTTTAGTTTATTATTTACAGGAAAAATTATATGGAAGCCCATATATTGCAAACTTATTTATTTGTCAAGTATTACAATTTACACAAGATTTGTATATTATTTAACTATTAAAATATTATATTTTGATGGTACATAGATATTTAGCACTTACTCAATTTCTGGTTCAGGTTCATCTGACTTTTTATCCTTTGTATCACTTTTATTTGTATCTTTCTCTTCTTTTTGTTTTTCTTTTACTTGTTCTTGTTCCATTTTCTTCTTATTTTTGGCCCTTTTCCTTTTCTCTTTTTTCTTTTTGTGTTTGTTTTGACGATTACCAGCTTTTGAACCATTAACAGATGGGGCAGGTGCTGATGTTTCTTCATCAGATTCATTATCGGCATCTGTGTAGTCCACACTAACCACATTTTCGCTTGATACTAAAAATTTTCAAATTTCTTGTATTATATATTCTATACATTTTTATGAAAAATAATTCTTACCCTTTTCAGCAATATCGACCTCTGTTCCCAATTCGGCCGCTCTTTGATCCTTAAGGGCGAAGACTTGCTCCAATGCTTTTGGCAAAACTACCTCAGTTTTTGTTTTAGCAACTTCATCAGGCTTTTCCACATGTAAAGATAATAAAGATGGCAGATCTTTTGAATTTTGATTGCCGGCTAATGTCGGAGGTATTCCTGGAGGTGGCAACAGTACTGGATGATTTATTGGAGGTGGCCCCGACATATTCGGTGGCATATTCCCTGTTCCAGGAGGCATTGTGCTGGGAGCTATGCTTACTGGTGGCATTGTGCCAGGAGGCATACTAACAGGTGGCATTGTACCAGGAGGCATGGTTGCCGTTGGCATAGCACCTGGTGGAACATTGTTAAGTGGAATGCTTACTGGAGGCATTGTGCCAGGCGGCATAGTATTAGATGCCATTGTTCCAGGTGGCATATTTGACATTTGACCCGGCATATTTGGTATCATTGTACCAGGAGGCATATTCGGTGGTAAACCACTCGGTGGCATGCCGACCATTGGCATATTTGGCGGCATACTTCCTGGTGGCATATTAGGCGGCATACCTCCAGGCGGCCTATTCATAGGCGGCATTGTTCCAGGGGGCATGTTCATTGGAATCGTGTTAGAGACGTCTTGATTCAATTCATTCATCTTGATTAAGGTTAGTTTCAAGTTAGTTTTTAAAAGTATCTATTCAACCACAAAACGATAAGAGACACACTTAAAATTAAGGAACTTTCCTATTCATTCTTAGTACGTACGATTACACTTAAATTAACAGGTTCTTCTTACGTTCAAGAAAAAAATACTTTTGATATAAATTAAGTTGACAAATATCGGTGGTGATGAACATAGAGTGTCAACTCTGCATTATATAGATAGGCATTTTGACAGACAAATAGTATACAATGGCGGCTGATAAAATGCATGAGCATTTGCGATTTGCGCGCCTCTGTGAATGTGTTTATTAAATTAAATTGAATTAAAAGCATTTAAAATTAAAAAATATATATCACTGCAAAATGAAATTCTAAATTTGAACACTGGTAGAGTAATAAATAAGAAAAAACAAAATGTTTGTAAAATTAGAACGGCTGGAATTGCCTATACCAAAAACAAATCAGTACGTCTCCACATCAATACAAATCGAATGTTTTTTGAATCATTCAAATCGGTTTAACGGTGTTCCTGAAATTGTTGATAGAAATTCAATGGCAAAATACATTATTTTTAGTTCTAACACAATATATTTTATGTTGTATATACAATAGCTAATAATTTAACAATAACACTAAAAAAAGTAAAAACAGCTTGTATAAAAGTTTTCTATTTTCTTACATTATTTTTATATTCTATAGTATGGTCATCTAGGAAAAATCAACAATATTTGTTTTATTGTTACATATCAATAAATTATTTTATTTAGTCCCAGAGCATCCAGGCAAATTCAATTCTTCTAATTCTAAAATTCTTATCTTTTCTTTCAAAATTTTTTGGTAAGCAAATCCACCTTCTTTATCAACTTGCAAATTCTTTGAAAGTCTTTGGATAATACTATTCAATCTCTGTGTGGAAGAATTTTGAACTTTATTCAATTTAGCACTTGAAGGTTTTGCATTAATCGTATTTTTGGTATCAGGAACAAATGATGCAGAAACAGGCAAGGTATTTTTGGTATCAGGAATAAATGATGCAGAAACAGGCAAGATATTATTGTCCACATCAGGAGTTTTACCAGAATTCTTAATTTTTAGGTTTGGAGTTGCTTTGTTTTTGGCCAACTTTTTTGGGCGTGGTTTGAGGTTTAGATAATTAACTTTACTGTACTTGTCATTGTTAATTTTCTTGGAAGACTTCAAATTTTTTGGGACACTTTTAGATGTGCCAGGCACATTTTTAGATGTTATTTCATAATTAGCTGCTGATTTTGAAGTAGTTGGTCTTATATTTTTTGGTGTGTGAGTTTTTTGACTAGTACAATTTTTGTTCAAATTTGAATGTAGTTGACCAACTTCATGTTGGTTGTTATCGGTTTGACTCTTTGTTGGCAAATGGCGGTTGTTTTCTATTGAAATAGTATCAAAAATCTGATTACTTTTGAATAATTCTCGAAACGTGCCATTCCAAAATTGATTTGTATCTGAAACTTTACTAATCGTGGACGAGTTTACATTTATTGCCCGTCTATGATCTTCATTAAGCCTTGGAATTTTCTTTCTAGAAATTATAACCGGGTTACTTATGGTTTGTTGATTATTATTATCAACAATATTGCTTGAATTTGTTTTATCTAATTTATGATAATTATAAAACATGTGGTGGCTCTTGTTCTCGTGGATCTGAATATTTGGTTTGCTACTAATAGTTTCATTATCAGATTCATCGTCTTCGTCACAAAGCATTTGAATTAGTTCCTCCTTAGTATAAAACTCAGTTTTATTAGCAATTGGAACAAAATTGTATTGCTCAGCTTTATCACATACAAGTTCTTCAACTTGTACACACATTGTTTTCATAAATTCATCATCAATTACTTTTGAAGACTCATTTTCTTCATTAATTCTAGTCAGGTTGTGCTGGTCTTCAAATGTTAAAGTCTTGGTCGTCGTTTCAAGATTATTATTAACACAATTAGCATTTAATCTCGGATAGTTGTGTTCATGGATAATTGACTCATATTTCGTTACAGTTGATGATTTTGTACTGTAAGTTTCGCGTTTTTTTGGAAAATCGCAAGGTTGTATCACCAAATTCGAATTTCCAATATCTGGATTAATATATTCTACGTCTATAGGTACATCATCAATATAATAAAAACTGTACTCATTCTCAGGTAATTCGTCAACAGTATTTTCCAAAGGGGAAATAGTGATTACTTCAGGAACAAAACTTGTTTGAGTGCACTTGGTGTTATTGTTCTGATAGAATATTGGCTCAGATTTTTCATCTGATGTGCTCTGGGTTATGATTATCTCACAATCAGAAATATTTATATTTGAATTCGTCAAATTATTTGTAAAAGTCATGTTGTTACATAAGTTTTGAATAGATAATTCGTCACTCACTATCCAACTATTCACCGCCATGATATGATAATAAATTATCTTTCTTGCAGGCAGCAAATCTAGGAATAAAGAAATTCGATTTTATAATTGATGGAAATATGAAAAAATGTAAAATATTTTATTGGCATTCAAACAAGTGCGGTTTTCAGCTTTAGATTTGGTTTCAATTAAATTTTAAGGTTTGCTGGTGTAGTCCAAATGTAAAATACATTTTGTTAATGGATAGCAGGAAATTTAGATGTCCATAGGTAAAAAGTGTTTTTTGTTCATTACGCTTGTTGAAAGATGGAAAATTGAATCAAAAATGTATTGTAATCGTCCAAAAATCGAAATTGAAAATTTTTACATTTCTTCACGTTTTGAAGGTTTCTGAACATTTTGGCATACCTCAGAAAAAATGGATGTGTGTGTGTAAGTATGTATGCATAAACTTTTAATTTCGATTTTTGGACGATTACTATAACAGGAAGTTAAAAATGCTCTGGTCGTCCAGTTCAAGTTGATTATAAAATAATTGTCTCCCTTTTCTCTTAGAATAAAGTTATTCAGTATCATTGAAAAAATATCTTTGATTTTCTAACAAAAATCCGCACTTACTTAGTTGCCAACCGAATGGCGAATTTTGGAGTTGAAAATATAAATAAATAAAGTTATTATTTTCAGTATAACAAAATCTGAGTTTAGCGCTATTTATTTTAAATATTTTATCACACTCATACCGTTTATTTGATAATGGCGGTTTTTTTTCGAGAGTTATATGTCTACATAACCTAACAACTATAAACTATATAAACACTTTAAATGTTATAAAATGTATTTTCTAGTATATCTACAATAATTAATGCGTTTTAAACGAATAAATAGTTATGTAAAACTATATTCGGTAATATATTTATATAATAATAGATGCAAAATGGTCACTTTCATTTTAAGTTTGTCATACCGGTTTTGAAACGAATTTTCTATGTGAAACCGAAAACTTTTACAATAATGTATAACAATAATTGAATAATAGTATAAATAAATACAATAAATTATGAAATTAGTATTATTTATTACCTTTTTATGTGATGAACAATTCAGGGGCACATTTTCACTTATCACAAATAACAGGAAATTAAATTTGGTTCAGAAGACATTGAACACAACGTCCTGATTGACATGAAGTTAGTATATATATCGTATTTGAATCAATACATTATTCTACACATTTCGGAACGAAATATACTGCAACAACTTTTAAATTTGCGAATCTAAAATTTCTTAACTAATCAGCGCGATCCCTAACAATAGCAATAGAATGTTTTTTGAATCATTCAAATCGGTTGATTCGTGCTCTCGAGATCGTCGACAAAAAATTGTATCCGTACATACATACGCATACATACACATACATATATCCATTTTTTAAGCTGTGCCAAAATGTTCAAAAACCTTTAAAGATATAAAAAGTTTACTTTTTTTAAAATATCAACATTTAATTACAAGAAAACAACGGTCTGGCTGCTTTTTAAGAAAAATTTTACAACGTGAACTCCGACTGAAATCTTATTAGATGGCCGTTAAAGGATGAAAAACGGTTGAGGAAAAACGGCTCGTTGATACAACGCCTATTATTACTTGACAGTTCAAGTTGGTTTAATTTGATTAGCTACTTGATAATAAATATAATTGATAAGATTAATTAAGTCTTATCCCAGTGATAATCAAATCATTTCTATCGCATTTTGCTTGATATTTGAATTATGTTGAGCAAAAATAGCATAGCAATAATCGTATAGAAAAAATATTTATTGTCAATCAAAGTATGCAAACTATTTTCTTTACTAGTAATTTATTATCTTTTTACTAATTGTGCTTTTGTCTGCTTACTGTACTTTTTACTAAAGTATATTTTTACTTTTTCTGCTCATTTATTGAATTATGAAATATTGGATTTAATATCTTGAGTAAATTGTATTTGACGCTGATTATGGATAAAAAGTCTACTAACATATTAGTATTGAAAGGTAGTGATGACTTACTCATGAAAAATTATCAAGTATATTTATTTAAATCATTTACCCTCCACTTATTCGAAATTGAATTTACATAACCTCAATCTCTTACAGAAAACTTAATTGGCTACTAAATAAAATCATAACCAATGAAATATATCTTTACCAATTTTGTTTCCAAATGGAAATGTTTATTACTGATCCTCGGAGTGCGAGTGTTATCAGTTTTTGCTGTTCGTACATGGTACGTACCTGATGAATTCTGGCAATCTCTAGAAGTCGCACACTACTTAACATTTGGCTATGGATATTTGACCTGGGAGTGGCATGAAAGAATTAGGAATTTTTTGTACCCTCTTTCTATATCAGTTTTATATAAATGTCTCGATATATTGCATCTAGACTCTGTTTATATGTTGACCACTGTACCAAGAATTGTACAAGCGATTTTCACTGGCTTAGCTGAGTATAAACTCTATTGCTGGTCTGGCCGTAGTAAGTGGACACTGTTTATGTGCTTGTCGTCATGGTTTGTATTTTATATTGGTTCAAGAACTTTGCTGAATACTGTAGAATATGGAATTGCTTGTATAGCGATTACACAATTTCCATGGAGAAATTGCCGGTCAGGAGACCAATGTAGATTTTTGTACACAATCGGGCTTGGAACAGCCATGAGACCCACTTTTATAATACCTTGGATACCATTATGCATATATCATTTGTATAATCCGAAATTAATATTTCTGAAAGAAATAATTGTAAGATATGTAGTTATTACATTGATAATTTTATTTGCAAGTATAGGTATAGATAGTCTAGTCACTCAGAGATTTTCTCTCACTTGTTGGAACTTTTTAAAAATAAATATTGTGCAAGGAGTTGCAAATTTTTATGGATCACATTCTTTCCATTGGTATTTATTAATAGGATTGCCAACAATATTATCAATTTCAATCATTCCCTTCGCTCTTGCTGCGTATAGCATGATGAAAAATAAATTTTCAGACCATATATCTTCATTAATGTTAATATCGATTACTTGGAACTTAGTTATATATAGCATGATTACTCATAAAGAATTTAGATTTTTATCAGGTAGCTTACCAATGATATTGGTGGTAACATCTAAATATTTGTCCTTCGTCTGTTCTCTCAGAGCAGTTCCAAAACTTGCCTCATATTTCATAGTGTGCGCAATCATGCTTTTCAATTTGCTTCCCATGTATTACTTTAGTTGGATACATCAATCAGGCACTACACTCCTAATGCCGGCATTATTAAAAACTGTAGAAAATTATTCAAGGTCCAATGCAGTCCCCCCAAATTTACTATTCTTGATGCCGTGCCATTCTACACCATATTACAGTCACGTTCACCAAAACTTATCCATGAGATTTCTCACATGCGAACCTGATATTAAATATAATGGAATAGAAGATGAAGCTGATGTATTTTATCAGAACCCACAGAAGTGGTTAGATATTAACTATTTTAATGTTATAGATGATGAATGTAAAAACAGTTCTTGCATTGGAAGACAAAATATAAAAGATAAATTACCTACTCACTTGATAATGTTTGAGGAACTCCAAAATCGGATTCATAAAAGTCTGAAGCATTATAAAGAAGTTGTAAAATTGTTTCATACACATTTTCCTACTGAAAGAGTCAGTTCGCATATAATAATTTATGAAATTAAATAAATTAAATAGAAATACTTTCTTTCATTTTATTCAAAGGATTGATCTTTTGCAAGTATGATAGAGACCCACTAAAAAGTCATTATGCATATCGATTGAAAATATATTTTATAAACATAATTTAGTTCCCTTTCCATTAGAATTGTAACAATTGTACAAAGTTGATCACACACATTAAATAGATACCAGAGATCGAATAAAAAAATATTTATAAGCTAAGGCATTATAAGAAAAAAAATCTAGTCATAAAATTATAATGCTAATTTAAAACTGTGCAATCATAAGTAATTTATAAATCTATTTTATTTACCAGATAATTGTGAATGTATGATAATTTAACAGAAAATTTAATGAATAAATTGTATATAAGGAAATAAAATTTGAAAGCTTTTTGATTTATCGTTCTTCCTCAAGAGGATTTCATGTATATTAATATTAATATAATTAATTTGGTGATTGAATCATTTCTAATGACCACGTTCATCTGTTATATAACATTCAAGTTAAGCACAAGTGCACAAGTGAAATATGCAAATTAACATGTGGAGTACCACAAGGATCAGTCCTGGGGCCCTTGTTATACCTTGTATATATATATATATATATATATATATATATATATACTTATAGATATTTTGTACGATCTCCCATACCAGGCACTTCTGCCTGTCCTGTTTGAATATTAAAATTCAAATAAATAAAAAAGGACTAACTAGTTTTGTGCTAAAAGCTTTTTCGATGCTCACAAAAACTATTTAGTACTTGCTGATTCTTAATTGAATTATGGACATAAAAACTGATTTCTATATTGACTAACCTGTAATTACTTTCAGAAAACTTTCTTAAAGGGAAAATATCCCTTACGTTTAGTTTTTTTGTACCATTAATATACCTCATGTATGATATGATGCTGTACACTAGGCAGAGAATTGTTTGTCATCAGCATTTTTATTTATTAATGTTTATTTAATAAACATCTGCTAAGCAATGTCGAGTAAGCAATTACATTCTTCATCCTTTATGCTAAATTATATTCCTTAGGTCCTTAAATTTTCCAAAATATCTGACCCTACAGGAAACATCACAACACATGAAAAAAGTCAGCATCAACAAAAATCTGAAGAAAATCAAACTTTGAAAGTTCTTGTAAAATATACACTATACTAACCTAACTGATGTATAGGTTAAAAGTACTTTTATTTCATTATTTTCATATAAATTTATAAAATGGCGACTAAACTGTAACATTAAACAAACTGAAAGTACAAACTATTATTTTGTTTTATCTTTTATAAACTTTTAACATATTTAATTTTTTACACATTGTTTAGATGATTCTTGAAATGTAAAAAAAAGAAAAATAAGTACTTACTTAAATAAAATGTATCTCGTAACACGAGTACAATTACTAGTAACGACAATTATAATTATTTTATAATTATATTATATACAATCATTAAAATGAGAGTTATTAAAATTTCAATTTTAAATTTGACATTGTCGTTAGTGTTTCTCCAAAATACATTTACATACCTGTCACACATCTATTACAACACTTCATTTACAAAAATATTCGAATTACTATTTATAAATATAAATCTATTAAGTATATTAAACTTATATATCAGTCAAAATAATAAAATCACTTTTTACACATTGTTAACTGCAAATAAAAATGAGCAAACAGCTAACTGCCAACATGATGTAAGCTGCAATAGAAATTAAATTATGATAGGTTTTCATGCAAACAAGTCGATATGATTTAACAAATTAATAATAATAATTAGAAATAAATAAATATTTAGAAGTTTATAAGGAAGATTCAATCTGGAAATAAATATTTGTTTCCAAAAGCCATTTGAGCAACGTGGTTGTTCATGTTGGCACCACTGATTATGTGAAAGGACTCATGCATACTTCATATTAGTTTTGTGATTTTTATAAAAATTTTATTCGATTTTTAAATTTTATTTTATATTATTAACTTTAAGTTATAGTAATCTTAAAAAAATCGAAAATGTATTTTTTTATATATCTTTACGTTTCAGAGGTTTCTGAACATTTTTCTTGGCTTACTTCAGAAAAAATGGATGTATGTGTGTGTGCGTGTGTATGTGTGCGGATACAAATTTTCGACGATTTCGAGAACACGGATCAACCGATTTAGAAAATTTAAAAAAAACATTCGATTTGTATTCATAAGAGGACGTGCTGCTTAGTTTTTGGCGAAAGCAGGTCTAGCCGTTTCGAAGTTACTGGGCAAAAAGAGCCAAAAATGGTAATTCTTTTTTTGAGAGAACGAAGCGTCCGATTTTAATAATTCAGAAAATATTTTACTTGTATTTGTATGTAAAAACGGTTATGCAGTTTTTGAGAGAACGGATCATCAGATAAAATTAATTCAAAAAACTTTTACAGAAAATTTTGTAATATTGAAAATTTAAAAAAAAAAATTCAAAATTTTCAATAAAATTCAAAGTTTAAAAAAAAATTCTTCATTTTCATTTAAAAAAAAAACTAATTTTGAAAAATTTCATTAAATATCAAAATTTATTAAAAACAAAACGATTTCTTACAAAAATTTGAGAATATTTCGAGATTTTCAAAAAATTCCTGCTATTTACAAAGAAACGGCTCGGCCGATCGTTGCGCAAAACTGATAAAAACGCTCACGCTCAACTCATCGAGATGCATCAAAATACTTTTGAATTTTTAAAATCGGTCTAGCCGTCTTTGATAAAACGACGATTTACGGCAAAAAATCTGTTCACGCACACGCATACACATACACACACGCACATAATTTTTCCAAATTTGGTCTCATTCTATTCAGAATGGCTTGAAACGTTGAGGAAACATAAAATTAGCGAATCGGATTTTTTGATGAAAACATAAACTTCTCCTTTGGGAAGTTAATAAATCGCAAACACGGTCGCTTTGTCATTACTTCAGTTTTAATTGTTTCCCAACTTCATAGGGGCACCACTAACTGCAGTAAATATACCTTTGGCTTTAATTGATTAATTTGAATAAATGAAATGAGAACGATATATACGCGTATAAATTATATTTTCAACAAAATGACAAAAATGTAAAAAAAAATTGAACGTATTACAATAAGAAAATCAGTAATTAAAAAAAAGTGATGAATTTGGGGGCACTAGACCCTTGTTGAGTGCGGAAAACACTAAAACAGGATAAAGTATGTACATTTGTTCTGTTTTTACGCCCCAAACTATAAATTTCCAAACCATATCTGTCGACAGTAAATGTTCTACTCATAATAAAACTATAAAAGTATTTAAATAATCTTAATGTATTTAAACTTAAAATCTTGTTTAACTGATAAAGATACAAAACTTAAATGCAAAAATACACTAAAATAGAGCATTTCTTCCACAAAAGTGAAAGTTTAAATAAAACTTATATCATAGGAGGATCAACCTTACTAACATTTCTCCAAATGAGCAATGTTACACATTAATAATGATATTTTTCACTATTACTTATTGCATTATGATTATGATTAAAAAGGATTATTACCATAATCGATTCTCATATTACTTCCATTATTTACATCATCGACGAATTTCTCCCATCTCTTTTCCCACTCCTGCATGAGCTCCTGTTTTTTCAGTCCTTCCAAAGAGGAATAGTTAATGGAGTTTATTGCTAATTGTTTCAATAAACGCAGATCCTGCCATTTGGCTGCTAGTCCCATAAACGCTTCATACCTTAAATAAATGATAATATAATTAATATATTTTAATAATTATTTTATCTTTCAACAGATTTCATTTTTTATATTCCCGAAAAATCAGACTTTTCAGAATGACTGATTAAAATCATATAATATCGTAGGGCCTAGAATATTTTAGTATGTTATTTCAGACTACAAAATCTATCGTGATACCAAGTTTCATTATAATATCGACAAAAAAATCAACAAATAATTACGAAGAATCGGTCCGCCAGATCTTTGCCAAAAACAGTGACACTCGACATTGGAGTGGCAAGGATTAAATTTTTGAAATTGATTCAGCCGTTTCTGATAAAACTTCGACAAAAGGTCAAAAGTGGACACACCTTTTCCATACACACACATAGTTTTTCGAAATTTGGTCCCATTCGATTCAGAATGACTTGAAACGTCGAGAAAAGTTGAAATTTTTCAAAGCTATCAGATTTTTTCGCGATATTATTAAAACTTAATATCTATGATTTATTATTATTATTTTACCAGTCATAAGAAGCTCCCTGGGCGCCCCAGAATCCGGGATCATCCGGAGCGATGACGACCGGATAATTGTTTGTCAATAGATAACTTCCAGGATGATTCCTCAAATCGCTTACTAATCCCAAAACCTGGAAAAAAGTAAATTAAAAATATTACAATATTGCATTTCCAAAACTTCAGTTAAATTATATATTATAGAAGCAAAATAAAAATAAAGAATTATAATTTTTAATAAAGGATTTGCACAAGTTATGATTTTTATTTAAAAAAACCTTATTGGAACAACTTAATGAATTAATTTTATTTAATTTTTTTATGGTTAAACACATACGCCAGGGATACTGGCACTGACATACAATTGTAAAAAAAATGATGTAGATATGGTTTAATGCTCTATGCAAACAAAATCAATAAATATAGAATTTTTTTTTACCTGATTTGATATCGGACAGACCTCGATGCCAATTTGGTTATTCTTAACAGTTCGAGCTACCTGTGTAAAAATAATAATTATACAAAAAATTTCAATATTTATTTTTAACCCTCCGTCGGTCCGATGTTTATTTACCTTCGAACGGTCGGAGTGGTCTGGTTCATTGATCGACAGCTAATGAAATTTTCGGAAAAGTCCAGAAATTTCAAGTCGATAGGATTACTAAAAGTATTTTTTTTTAAATTGAAGTCGAAAAAAGTCTTGCCAGACCACTTCGATCGACAGAGGGTTAAATATAAATTCTATGCACTTTAGGAACAGATGTATTACATAAACCTACAATCTCTTTAAAGATATCATTAGAAGGATTAAAATACTTGGTGTAATATTCGTAATAAAATTTTATACTTGTAGAAATATATTTATAAAGTGTATAAATAATTCTACAGCCATTTCGACTATGGGTATAATAATTCTAGCAGGATTAAATCATTTTATTACGAATGCTGTACCAGATAATGTAATCTGTTTAGTAATATTTTTCAATTCTACCGTAATAATTATAATATATAATTGCACTTTATAATTAATAAAAACAATTAAATATTAAATTAATTTTTTAAATATTAATTTTTTTCATTAATTTGGAAGCATTTGAGCCATTGGGAGCAAAGAAATTCGAAAAACCATATTAATGACCACCCTAATATATATATTATATATAATTCTTATGTAAAGATGTATGATTTGATACTTCTCCCAAACGGTTATTCGGATTTTGATAATTCTTTTTAGAGTTTGTTAAAGGAATTTTTTAAGATTTAATGAACGATAAAACTATAGTGATATTGTAGAAATAGATGGCAAAAATTACAACAAAAGTGCCATCTGCTAGAAATGTCAATTCACTTGAAATTTGAATTTAGCTGAAATTATGAGCCTAGATAATATTATAATATAATATACAAGAAAAATATAATGTCTATATTATTATTACCCAAAAGCAGCTCAGATATGGCAGAAATTAAAATAATATAAGATACAGTCAACAGTATATGTTAGCAGATGAGATTATATAATTCAATTTAATAAATAACGGAATAAGCTTATGCATGTCGCATTTTGGTTTACTTTACTAAATTATTTAACAATTCAAAAAAATATTTCTACTTATTAAAAATATGATTTATAGAATTTTGTTTCATGTATCAAAAATTCATTTGTTTGGCATTGGATATGGAATATTTAGCAAGTTGATTTCAGTTTAAAGAGTGCTCATATGAACTAGATTTTACAAATTAATTCACCTAAGATTTGAACATAAACAATAATGTTTATTAAATTATTAGTAAGAAAAATGTACTTTAGAAATTATAATTGCCAAAAAGCAACTAATATATGGTACGAGATTATGAAAATTATAGACTAAATTATTGAAGCAATTATGTTCTGTGGTAAAATCAAGTGTGATATTGTTCTTTTACCGCAGATACTATATTATTTTTTTCTGAATTTCTTATAATGCTTATGCTAAGACCATGAATGAATCGCAAAGACAGAACATCAAATAGGATATTAAAAAGTATAGGAAATAATATTAAAAAATTTGGAACTATTGAAGACGTGAGTATAGGACAACGGTTGCCTGGTTATCTAGTATATACGTGTATATATATATATATATATATATATATATATACATTTATAGATATATATGATTATTATTTATTACCTGGGGATGTTTCAGCAAAGCATAACCATGTCCAATTCTCTTAGTTCCCAACAGCACGGCGTCCACCAAATTATTATCCGTCGAAAATCCATTCCAATCAGTTTCACCGGCATGAAAATAGAAATTCATCTCACTCTGCATTTCCTCCAACTCTGTCGAAAACGAGTGTAGAGTTTCTCCCAAATCTTCCTGTCCAACAAGGTCAAATCCAGCCACAAAATCCGGGAAAGCATTTTTCAGATCCCTTGCAATCCTGGCATATTCCAGAAATTGTTGGTTGTTTACTAAACGGTGAGGGGCGTAGATGAATCTGGCACCGAAAAAAGTTGGATGTTGATTTTTGAATTTGTTTAAAGTGTCTACATAAAGTTGGCAAACTTCTTTTTCTTTTAATTCGGTACCGTCTAGTCTGTATACGTTGGGTAAGGTACCGCGGAATTCTATGTAGTTGATGTTGTCTTCGTGAAATTCTTTTAAACTTTGGTAGAAGTAGTCTGTCCAGACTGGTTCGTAGGTTAACATTGGTGTGATTTTACCGAAAATGCCACCGAATCTGGTCCAACAGCGTTGACGTCAAGACCTACATCCTGATGCCCTAAAGTCAACTGCATTTTCAACCAGTCATCAGTTTCTAGAATACCTTCAGTCTGTCTTATTTGTGCAACACTTTTCCATAGCCCATCACTGGGTTGTTTGGGGAAGAATTTTAATTCCTCAAGAATTTGGTTGGATCCCGTGTTGGCTTGTCGTAATTTGGCATAAAGATTTGGACGATACGTGATGTTTTTAATAACAAAATCTATACTAACCAACGCGGTATCGTGTCCGTGCAAAACTGCACCCTTCGGCATTTTCTTAAGCAAACCAAAAACTTGAGAATTCCTAACATCATTAACTGATTCCAAGAAACTCCTTGCCGGCGGAAAACGTGCAGGATCCTTAAAACCTTCATCCAATTCCTGTTTTTTGAAACCCATCAAAGTCGCATTGGCTTTTAACTCATCTTCACTCAATTCCAAGGTACCTCCGACACTATTTTCTTGTTCATTTTTCAAAAATTCTGCACGTTTCAACTCGTACTGGTTAGAAGACATAGGAGCTGGTCCGTTCATTCTGGCAGACGACACTAACTGCAAAAGACATATTGAAACAAATACACTATTTATTATTACCGACATTTTACAGACAATTTTGAATACAGACTGACGATTCAGAAGACGATATGTCGACTGGTTGGTTTTTATCCCTCCCCAAAAGTTTACGATTTGTTTAATACCTTGATATATACTCATACATATCAGTGGTGCACGACATTATCATATCCATGAATATAAAATTTGATCGGAAAACATTATGTAAATAGAGCGATTTCATGCAAATATTTATAAAAACTGCAAGATAGCAGAAGAGATTCCGAAGTAAAATATATAACATTTTTAAGCAAATAGGAAATGGATAATATATGTTTTATTGAAATATGAGACTGTCCAGGTGATTTGATTTTTTGAAGTGATTTCCAAAATCTTGAAAATAAATATACTAGGTTTAAAAATCCTAAGTAAAGAATTATAATTACAATTAAAATACAATATAAACTAGTGGTGTATGGCATCATGCCTTAAGCAAATTGCTGGAACTTCCCGGGCTTTAATTCGAAATTTTTATAAGTTCAGAAAACATTAGATTTTTTATTTGAGAATTTCCAATTTTTTCGAACATTTGTGAAAATTTGATTTGTGAACACATTTTAAAAATTTGATTTTTTTAACAGAAAAAAGTGTAAAAAAATGTCATTTGGTACTCGAAAATAAGATATTTCGAAAAATTCTGATTTTGCAAAATTTACTTATTTTTTTATTTATTATTTTACAATGCAGATATTTTATTTAACTTCAAAATTGTTTGAAAACAGATTTATTTCGAAATATCTGATTTTCAACCGCCAAATGGCATTTTAAATTTTATGAATCTCCGAATCCGTTGAACCTGCCTTTGCCAAAATTTAATTAATCCTTCAGCACGAGTAGAATGTTTTTTGAATAATTCAAATCGGTTGATCCGTGCGCCCGAAAACGTGGATGAAAAATTGTATCCATACGTACATACACACACACGCACACATTTATTTTTTCTGATAATGAGGTATACCAAAATGTTCAGATGTTATATATAATTTTTCTCAAAATTTTGAAAATATCTTCAATAAATCAAATCAAATTAATGATTATTGATCGATAAATCAAATGTGACAGTTTAAGTTTTAAAATCTCATATATATATATATATATATATATATATATATATATATATATTTACTAGCTGGGCCTGCAACATGAAATAAGAGTTTGCGGTAGAAGGGAGAATTTAGGACAAATCATGATTTTTAAATTTCAAAAAAAGTTTTATGGGTGGACAATCCTTATTTTTTTGATGTTGCATATTCTTTTTAAACACTCAAAAAATTTACAAAAAAATTTAGTAATGGACAAACCTTAATAATTTTTTTGAAGTAAAAATTGAAGAAAAAACATTCACTGACTGTAAGCATGGTTAATAAAATGTACGTTATAAAATAGGGTATAATTTAATTAATTAAATTAATAATTTTTGTAGCAAGCTGTGAATTTAAAGTTGTGTGCATTTTTCAATTTTGCATTATAAAATCGAAATAAAAAAAATTAGTACCAAATTAAACAAAAATATTAGGAGTTAATCCTTGATAAAATGAGAAGCTTTTTGAAGTAAAATTTAAGCTTCTTTATAAAATCTGAAAAATCTGAACTGATCATTATCATCTGATCATCTGAAATAATCATTGGCTAAACTAAACATAAAATAAGAAAATTGGTCCAAAACCTAAAAAAAAATTTAGGGGTCGCCAAGCCCCTATCAATTAGGGGTACAAAAACCGTATAAAATAAATGATGACCGATAATCAGTCATACTGAACTTGTAAAATTTCACAAAAAAAAAATTTAAGTTTTGTCTCCAATGTTTTACAACGGTTTTCCAAGAATATAAATAACAATAACATAATAAACAAGTGAAAAATCACAATGAAAAATACATAAAACCAATGATGCATCAATTCTGAGTAATCTAAAACAAATAAAAAATCCACCATTTAAATCTGTTTTCTTTCTGCTCGATATATATTTGCACAGGCGTTTGCAGAAGGCGATGCTTGATTAATAATAAAACAAATAAAATTAAATTTTTATATTAAAAAAAACATCAAAGTGACAAACGAGTGTACATTTTTCATAATCGAACCGATAATTCAATGGAAACTTTATTTTCCCACATAATATTATTAGCAAATCTGGAAGCAAAATTCAAAAAAAAAAGATTATAAATCTCTGAGCGATAAAAAATCCAAGAAATACATAAAATGTATATTTATTTTCCGAGCTTAAAGTAACATCAGAAACTCAAATAATAAATATTAGTCATGTCGACGTGTGAATTTTAAACATACGCCATCGACAGATATAATATTGAATTAATAAATAAATACACAAAGTATTTTAATATCATGATTAAAACTGAGGTTTGATATCAATGATAGAATCTATTCTTTAGATAACATTGTTCGTCCAATTGCCCTTACATAATTTTTACAATACCGGCGGACTTATCAATGAGATGACAATGACGTGGAATCGTCTCGTTTAATTAAAATTATAATATTTATATAATAAACATAAACTGGTGATGCATGGCATCGTGCCTTAAGGCAAATTGCTAAAACTTCCCGTATCGAAAACTAAGATTTTTCGAAAAGATTAAAAATTTTTTTTGAAAATATTCGATTTTCCAGCATTTTAAAAATTTGGTAAAAACGTGACTTTTTTAAAAGGTTTAAATTTTTTCCCATAGGGTAGTATAAGTTATAGTAATGAGCTGAAAACCGAAAATAAAATTTTTTGCATTTCAGAGAAAATGGATGTGTGTGTGTGTATGTATGTGTGTGGAGACAATTTTTCGTCGACGATTTCGGGCGTATGGATTATCCGATTTGAATAGTTAAAAAACATTCGATTCCTATTGATAGGGAGACGTGGCAGGCCCACCCGTTTCGGAGCAAAAGAGTGCAGAAAATAGAAATAGAGTTTTTGAGAGAACGGAGTATCCGATTAGATTAATTCAAAACAATTTTGCTTGAGAAGACGGTGTGCAAAAAATGCTTTTACAGAAAATTTCGTAATTTTGTCAATATAAAAAAAAACAAAATTTAAAAAAAAAAAAATCAAAGTTTTAAAAAATTCATGTTTTCGGAATTTTTCATTATCAAAAAAAAACTTAATTTGAAAATTTTAAAAAATATCAAAATTTAAAAAAAAAAAACAATTTCTTACAAAAATTTGAGAATATTTCAAAATTTTCAAAAAAATGGCATATTTTCAAAAATTTCCAAGTTATCAAAAAATAAAAAAATATTTAATTTCAAAAAATTCCAAACGTCTAAAAAAAAATTCAAAACTTTAATTTCAAAATTTAAACTTAATTTCTAAATTATCAAAGAAAATAACGATAAGGCTGCAAATAAAAATTTCAAGAATATGTATTTGAAAAAAAAATTATTTGAATTTATTATAATTTACTTAATGATGGCACACATATAATATAGCGTCGAAACGTACACAGTAAAGAGTAATTTTTTTATCGCGACTGTTTTGTACACATATTTACATGTGCATATATAAAAAGTGAAAAAGATGAATGTAACCTGCTTATTAGGCTTATTTATTTATGAATGTAACATTGACTGACGTGGTTGTTTAAAAGTTTATTTTCGTGGCAATAACATAAAAATTTAATTATTGGAGCTTACCTATGTCCAGCCTTGTGCTGCATTTACATTAAATTTATTTCACTCATTTGTTTAGTCTTGTAATAATACTTTTAATTATTTAACCGTGATTTGCAAAAGTCTGTGTCCAAACAGCAACGTAAACATAACCATAGATAAATAAACATGGCGCAAATATTTTTGATTATTTATCTATGGCGGCGCTGATGCAATCTTTTCTAGTAACTTCTATGTCCTATCTATGACATCGCCATGTTTAGTCTCTATGCTCAGCTGTCGAACTGACAGCTGCTGTCTGCAAAACTAATTACTCAAACTTATTCCTTATAAATTATTTAAAAAGTTCAAAAAAAAAAAACTAGAAAAAATGGCAAATGTAGGAGCTCCACCAATTGTAGGTAGAAATATCATGTCAAGATCTGAAAAAGAAAGATATATATCACAATTTGATTTCCCTTTGTGTGCCGAATCTTCAAAATATGACAAACTCACCAAAATTGGCCAAGGAACTTTTGGGTATGTTTAAGTGTAAGTAATACACTCTCATCATTATGTGATATTAATTATACTTGGTGTCGCAGAGAAGTATTCAAAGGACGAGAAAAAAGTACTTCTAGGACCCATCCATAATGAAAAATTTGTGGCCATGAAGAAAGTTCTCATGGAAAATGAAAAAGAAGGAGTAAGTGTAATTGAAAATAGTATCCTGCTTTATAAATGATTCATAGTTACCTGCATAATTCATATTATCTAAATTTGATTTTTCATTAAGGCCCTCTGATGTTTAACAATTTTCTATCTATTTTCTTCCTCTCTATTACAGTTTCCGATAACAGCCCTGAGAGAAATCAAGATTCTGCAGTTACTCAATCATGAAAATGTGGTAAATCTCATAGAAATTTGTCGAACAAAAGCAGTGTTAGAAAATAATTACCGTTCCACATTCTATTTAGTTTTTGATTTCTGTGAACACGACTTAGCAGGTTTATTATCAAACGCCAATGTGAAATTCAGTTTGGGAGAGATCAAGAAAGTTATGCAACAGTTATTAAATGGATTATATTATACACAATAATAAGGTAATAACTTATTTAATATATAAAAATAATTTTAATCCCTTTATAATCCTTTTTCCTTTGCAGATTTTGCATCGGGATATGAAAGCAGCAAATGTTCTCATAACAAAAAATGGTATTTTAAAATTAGCTGACTTTGGATTAGCTAGAGCGTTTAGTGTTCCTAAAAATGGTGTAGCAAATAGGTAAATAAATCATTCTTCAAATATTTATGAACTCTAATTTATCATTTACCTAAAAATGTATCCTTTATCTATTCAGATATACAAATAGGGTAGTTACCTTGTGGTACCGTCCTCCAGAATTATTATTAGGTGATCGAAACTATGGCCCTCCTGTTGACCTTTGGGGTGCTGGATGTATAATGGCAGAAATGTGGACGAGATCACCTATAATGCAGGTATACAATATTTGTAAAGCAATAATATAAAGATATATGTGTAATGTTAGATATAATTGTGTAATGCAATAATATAAAGATATATTTTTCATAATGAAGGGTGGTTCTGAACAAGCGCAACTTATATTAATTTCACATCTATGTGGAAGTTGTACGCCTGAAGTGTGGCCTGGAATTGAAAATTTGGAGTTATATAAAAAATGGAATTGCCGCTAAATTATAATAGAAGGGTGAGTTATGATAATCGATGATATAAATCAAAATTATATATGTTTTAATTCCATTACAGGTGAAAGAAAGATTAAAACCGTATGTGAAAGATGCTGCAGCCTGTGATTTGCTAGATAAATTATTACAATTAGATCCATCTAAAAGATTAGATGCTGATGCAGCATTGAATCACGATTTCTTCTGGACTGATCCTATGCCCTGCGATTTAAAAGACATGTTAGAGCAACATAAACAAGTAGGAAAGATTTTTCTAAAAAAAATTAGTTACCATAAATAATTTTATATAATGATATGCATTTTATCAATCATTATTTTCAGAGTATGTTTGAATTCCTGGCACCTCCACGAAGACCGGACCACATGAGACACCACCAACATCAAATGGCAAGAGCTGCACAACAAAGAACAACATTAGAAAGTGGATATCAAGATCGTGTATTCTAATATCTGAAATAAATAATGAATTATTATTTAAACAAATACAATATTGACAATGCCCTGTATAATCCCAGGCGAGAATTTTGGGACACATGTAATAATTTTATAACAAGTAATCTGCGCCAATGTACCGATATGAATGTAATTTTGTACTGATATTGAATTGTAAATAAAGTTGAGGAGAGTATTATAATATGAGCTGTAATTCATTTGTGGTAGAAAGGAATTGTGCAATAAATATAAGACATGTATATAGAAAACAATGTAATTAAAGTCACACTTCAAATACGACATGATCGGTTTGTCATTGTAATTAGCAATTAGGCCTATAAAAATAATTTTCATATGAATAACCTCAATTATATAGTAACCACGAATAATACAAATTACTTCAATAAACTTACGTTTCTTACACCCCAGATTTTTCATTTGTTTTATAATTTTCACTATAATCAAAGCAATCATACTCACGTGACACGACGACCGATCTCAATCGACCCATATTAAATTGATATCTAGGCTCGATTGGCACTCAACTCGAGCATAACGCTCTTCCGTTCCATTTGCACAGATTCACTCCCTAGTCGCGCCTAAAAAAGTTTTACTTCAAAAATAGTTAAGCATTGAGTTTCATCTGGAAATTTTCATGTTTCCAATATCCACGTTTTCTTGAAACACACATCACTTTCTGTTACATCATTGGCAATCGACTCGGCCGTAACGCTTTTCCGTTGCATTTGCACAGATTTACACCCTAGCCGCGCCTAAAGAAGTTTTACTTCAAAAATATTTATGCATTGATTTTCATCTGAAAATTGACATGTCTGCAATATCCATGTTTTCTTCAAACTCACATCATTTTCTGTTACATCATTGGTACTCGGCTCGAGCGTAACGCTCTTCCGTTGCATTTGCTCAGATTCACTCCCTAGTCGCGCCTAAAGAAGTTTTCCTTCAAAAATAGTTAAGCATTGAGTTTCATCTAAAAATTGACATATCTCCAATATCTATGTTTTCTTGAAACACACATTACATTCTGTTACATCATTGGCACTGGACTCAAGTAACGCTCTTCCGTTGCACTTGCACAGATTTACTCCCTAGCCGCGCCTAAAAAAGTTTTACTTCAAATAGTTATGCAATGATTTTCATCTGAAAATTTACATGTCTCCAATATCCATGTTTTCTTGAAACTCACATCACATTCTGTTACATCATATATTAATTAATTTTACATAAACTATAATGTAATCTTACAAATATGAATACTTCTCGATTCTCATCACTGGTTTTATGTTAATTTTTTAAATTATTTAAATATATTGCTTATTATTTAAATACATTCATTAATAAATACATATATCAATAGAATATTGATGATTACATTAAATCTCCTAATCTTTCATCTTTTATTTTAATTATTAAATCTTTATGTTCAACTTTGATATAATAAATTGTTTAATTTCTAAATCTATATGTAACCTGCACAAGTAAAACTATTATAATAATTCTTACAAAGAAGAATTTATAGTTTTTATAGGGTTTCGCACACACCTCAAAACAAGATGTTAAACTAAAAGTTATTCACGCTTTAATTTACTTAAAAAAAAATTAGAGAAATATATATATATAAAAATCAAGGTGTGTGTTATCTTATATATAAATAGAGAGCTAGAATATTTTTGAATAATACTCCATAATATTCACATATATTGATATATTTTGCAGCCCAATCGTCGAATTAAAAAAAAAATTAAAATAGATTTTTTTTTATTCTATTAATGTGTGTCATCATTCAGTATTCAAAAAAAGATCTCACATAAATAACAATAGTAGATATTAAATATAAAAATATAAAAAGGAGAATATTATATACATACCAAAGCAGGAAAAACATAAAAAATTAATAATATAAAATTTATTGAATACTAAACTTGTGTGAAAGAATATCATAACTAATATAATTAATTAAAGAGAAATTATAGGAGCACATATTGCCCTCCTATATTGTGTGTGTTCAATCGCTGTGCATTGTGAAACACTGATCAAGGTTACGTGGCATGTGCGGTAGAGTGAGTGAATGCGGGGTATAAGAAACAAAAGAGGAATGAGAAACAGAGAAAGGATATAACGAACGAAAGTAAATGTAAATTAATTAAATGTAATTTAATTAAATTTTTATTTTCTCCTTTTTATATTTTTATATTTAATATCAACTATTGTTATTTATATAATATGTTTTTTTAGATTACTAAATGATGACACACATTAAGTGTCGAAACGTTTAATGAAATAAAAAAAATCGATTTTAATCTTTTTTCAATTCGACGATTGGGCTGCTATATATATATATATATATATATATATTACATATATATATATATATATTATATATTTTGTTTAACACTTTGCACTTTAAATTTGTACAATTAGCGAATAAAATTTAATCTACAACATTTTTCAATCAAGAACTTAACTCAGTATTTAGAAATGTTTTTCTGAAAACTAAAACTTGACTGACAGATTGGATTGATTTTTTAGACTAAATTAGATTAAAAAAGATACAGTTTCTACATAAATTTCACATTTTCTTCAAATTCTACAAATAAAATGAAGAAGAGATTTGTTCATATCATAATATAAGATGAAATTATAATTTAATATCATATTGCACTCAATTATTTTGCAAACAGAATTCCTTTTCACATAAAATTCTTTACCACTTAAGTCGCGCCATATTATTAAACAACAAAAAGTATAATAAAAATGTTAAAAGTATAATAAAAATATGTTATCATAGCATAATAATTTATACACTAAAAGTAGAAAATAATTCAGTAGGTCGTCGATTACAATTATTCAATTATAATTTTCGCAAGTTCTCATTTTATGAGATAATCGACGATCCACCAAATACATTTTCTGAAAATTAAGAGAAAGCCAATGCTCGCTATATGTACAATTTATAAATAAAATCAAATCATTTCTTTTATATTGAGATCATATGTTTTAATCACTTTTTAATATAGACTCTAAAGGATTTGGACCTTTTCTTTTCGAATGGGGCGTCGGCCTTGGCGATACTGAAAAAGGAGAAAATACATATTTGTAAAGGACAAAAAATTATTAAGACTACGATATAATGCTAACAAGCACGGTGGATTTTCCATTACTTCATTCTTAATTGTTTCCGCATTCCAAAGAGGTCGCCACCAATCGTAGCACGTAAATTTACCCCTGGGTTTAATTCTAGATAAAATTTATATAAACGTATAATATAGAAAAGATAAGACCCCCTTGATAAGATAAGTTTACCCGCCTATGAGGTAAAAAGGATCAGGAGACAAATTTTTGAGAAACAGCAAAAAATAAAATTTCTACAATGATGATTTAGCTGAGAGTTTTACTGAACATAGTCAGATAGTTGTTTGACTGATATAAGTTATTGGTTTGATTGTCATAATATAATAGCTCAAAATCAAATTGGGCGACCTTTGCGTCCTGCCCTACCCTATTGCAAAAAATAACTAGTGGTGTATGGCATCGTGCCTTAAAGCAAATGGCTGAAACTTCCCGTACCAAAATTAAATATTCGAGGGAAAAAAATCAGTAATCAATAAATATTGATCAATGATTAATAACAATTGTTTTAAACATTTTATCGTTCATAAAATATACAGATATGATCTTATCGCTCAAAGCACTTGAGAATGTTTACATTAGCAAGACGTGGCCGAATGAATCCATCTGAGGGTATATTTCTTACGACTAGAATAACGCATTTGAAATATAAACATTTTCAAACTAAATTGTGAATTTAAAACTCATATTTGAAGTATAAAATTTTATATATTTTTGAAAATTTTGAAAAAAAAATATTTCTGAAAATTTTGAAATTTGCTTGAACCGTATAAGTAAACTTTAAAACTCAACTCAACAGAATTGTAACAAAATGATTACTCATTTTTAAAAACTTTATCAAATATCTGATAATTTGATGTGAATATGTCTAATAATCATTTTTGACCGCCAAATATCATTTCTTTACACTTTTTTATATGCATCTCCGAAACCGCCGGACCTGCCTTACCAAAAATGTCATCAATTATTCATTTCGTCATTACAAGTAAAATGCTTTTTGAATCATTCAAATCGGGCGCACCGTTCTCTCAAAAACTGAATTACCGTTTATGGCACTTTTTGCCCCTTATCTTCGAAACGGCTAGACCTGCTTTTGCCAAAAACTAATCAGCAAGTCTTCTCATCAATAAGAATCGAATGTTTTTTGAATAATTCAAATCGTTTGATTCGTGCGCCCAAAATCGTGGAAGAAAAATTTTATCCAAACATACCGACGCACACACATACATCTATTTTTTCAGTGGTATGCCAAAATGTTCAGAAACTTTTGAAACGAAAAGGTATGCAAAAATATTCATTTTCGTTTTTTTTGCAATTACTATAACTTATCCCACGAAAAGTTAATTATAATTACCTGTCGATTCAGTAGTCCTCTGCGCTTTTAGGCAATCAAGCCATTCCGACAATGTTATTTTCTTATCGTGATTTGCATCACAATATCTTGGTAGCTTTTTACCACATCTTCTCAAGTTTCTGAAATTCAATTCAAAACAATTCAAATCAATTTCGTCCATAGCTTACTTCTAATAATCATCACTTACCTATGATTACTTATTAATGTTCTGAAAGTCTTCCACTCTTTGCGATCTAGGTTCTTATTTTTGTTCTTGTCGAACATTACAAAGTGCCAAGTGGCAACCTGCTCATTTATGGGTGCCATCCAACGCAAACTGTCCGGACTAAAAAAAAGAAAGATGAAAAATTAATTATACAAAAATTTAAAAATTAAACAATTAAACTCACCTGTACATATTTGTTCCGTTGGTTGCAGCATTCATCTGTTTCTTCAAAAACTCCATCAAGTCGCGAAGAAATTGTGCCTTTTTCTGCTCAGGACATCCTAATATATGGTAAGATTATATTAATTAGAAGCTAGTTGAAAGTGGCATTTAGCCTTAAGGCAAATAGCATGAACTTCACGAAATGTGTAAGAATTTACTTAATCAATCAAAATTGAAATTTAGACATTTAGATAAAATTTTCAACTGTTTATTTCAAAAATAAGTTATCGCTTTCAATTTATTCTAAATAATGCGATTTCGAATAGAATTTTCCCAAACAAATTTAAATTATCTGTAATTATACTAATTACATTGCACAGACACGTGCTTGTAAGGCCTAAAATTGTAGCTTATTATTATAAATTTTAATGAATTAATAATGTTTGACTCATCGCATCACAAAAGCAATTTTTGACACAAATTTTGACTATATATATTTTCTCAAACTTTAATAAATTTTTAACATCAAACCCTTTATCGTAGGACGGTAACATTTTAGCATGTTTTATAAGACTATGATATCTATTGCTAAAAATCTAAAAATCGTCGAAAAAATTTTTTCGTCAGTTAATTTCGAGAAAACGGTTCGGTAGATTTTTACCTTAAACTAATCATTATCATTCCCAGCCAATATCTTTCGAACAGTTTTTGATTTTTTAAAATTGATTCAGAATTGAGAGATAAAACGTGAACGAATTTTTTTCACTTTTCTGCCGATCGTCGCAAGAAACTGAGAACAGATAATCCACATCGAAATACATCGATTGGCTTTTAAATTTTTCAAATCGGTTCAGTCGTTTTTGAGAAAATATCGATGAAAGTTCTAATTTTAATAAATTCCAAAAAAACGATACTAATTTGTGCAAACTTTGGCGGATTTTTAAAATTTAACGACTTTTCGTAGAGCCGTAATATTTTAGTATGATCTATAAGACTACTATGGTATCTACTGTACAAAAAAAGTTCATAAAAATCGTCGAAAAAATTTTTTATAACACTTTGTTACAAGAAAACGGATAGATCTTTACCAAAAACTAATCAGCACGATTACCAACCAATATCTTTCGAACAGTTTTTGAATTTTTAAAATCAATTCCGAATTGCGGACTAAAACGTGGGCAAAATTTTTTCACATTTTTGCTATTTACAAAGAAAAGGCTTGGCTGATCGTCGCACAAAACTGACAAACAATAGTCCTCATCGGGATACATCGAATTGCTTTTACATTTTTAAAATCGATCGAGCCGTGTTTGAGAAAACGTCGATTTACGACAAAAAATCTGTTCACATACACATACACATACACATACTTTTTCCAAATTTGGTCTAATTCGATTCAGAATGGCTTGAAACGTCGAGAAAACATAAAATTAGCGAATCGGATTTTTTGATAAAAACAAACTTCTCCTTCGCCTTTTATCACTAAGTTTGTTATTTTTATTTACCCTTCATAGGTCGGCTGGGTGTAGGCAAAGCATCACATTGAGGCTTCTTATCCTTGGTCGAAGTTCCGGCAATGGGTTTTCCCGAATCTTCCTGGACGCACCAGCAGTAACCTGTACTTCCGTAACATTGCACCCTTTGATATCTTCCATCGGCAGTGCATTCGGGAACGTAAGGGTCGCTTACTGCTACCTGGGAAAATAGATAACTGAATAAATATAAGCAAAATCCTAATCAATAAGAATTGAAATTTAGTAAATTAGAACTATCATATAAACCTGATATATTGAACGGATATACCAGGAAATTAGATTTAGAATTTATTATTAATTACCAATTGCTCATCCAAAACTGCAGCTCTATCCGATAAGCAATCCGAATCGGAGTCTTCCCGAAGGAATCCGCCCTTTCCACTGTTGCTGTCCCTTCCGCCAAATTTAGTATTTACCAAGGGATGAGAAACACTGCCATGTAGCACTGTTTGGTTAAAAAGAAATTTATTATTGAAGGTGTAGTAAAAGGAAGAATTCATTAATTGAAGAAATAGAGTGGTATTAATAGAATAGTACGAAATCCATTATTGAAGGTGTAGTAAAATTAAATCCATTTTTGAAGATAAAGTTGAAAGAAATCCGTTATTGAAAAATAGTAAAATTTACGTTCTTCACTTACTTACTTTAAAAAATAAGATAATTAACTTCCCGTAGGGCAAGTTATAGTAATCGCAAAAAAATCGAAAATGAAAATTTTTATATATCTTTACGTTTCAAAGGTTTCTGAACATTTTGGCATACCTTAGAAAAAATGGATGTATGTGTGTGTGTGTGTGTGTGTGTGTGTATGTATGTATGTATGTGTATGTATGTATGTATGTATGTATGTGGCGTGTGTGTATGTATGTGCGGATACAAATTTCGTCGACGATTTCGGGAACACGGATCAAACGATTTGAATAATTCAAAAAACATTCGATTCGTATTGATAAGAAGACGTGCTGATTAGTTTTGGCAAAGGCAGGTCTAGCCGTTCCGAAGATACGGGGCAAAAAGTGCTGAAACGGTAACTCAGTTTTTAAGAGAACGGAGCATCCGATTTGAATAATTCAAAAAACATTTCACTTGTATTGACAAGATGAAGAATCGATAAAATTTTCATGAAGGTAGGTCTAGCGGTTTCGGGAGATATGGAGGAAAAAGTAAAAAAATGAAGCCATTTGGCGGTTCAAAAATGATCATTAGACATATGCACATCAAATTATCAGATATTTTACAGAGATTTTAACAATAAGTATACATTTTGTTAACATTCCTATGGGTTCCGTACCAATGCTTATGCGTTAGACAGCGACGCGGCGCTTACGCGCTTTATATTTTGACCGTATGCAGTTAAAGCAGTACGATTGCTTTGAAAAAAAGTTCAGATCTTTCACAATATGTCAAAATAAAAAATTTTTTTTTTTTTTTTTAAATTTTCAAAAAAAAGTAATTTTTTGTCTAATCTATAGTTTCTCAAAAATCTTATTTTTTCAAAGTAAATTTTTTTCAAAAATGTTAAACGTTTTTAAAAAAATAATAATTTTTGGTACGGGAAGTTCCAGCAATTTGCCTTAAGGCACGATGCCTTAATTGCCTTAAGACAGAATTCCACTTACAGCTAGTTCATTCTTTATTTGAAATTAATAATTGCTTCAATATGGATAAGTATTTATAATGAATATACGTACTAAATAATAGCAGTTTAAATTATAAAATTAACTAGTAGTGTATGGCATCGTGCCTTAAGGCGAATTGCTAGAACTTCCCGTGCCGTAACAAAATGTTCGAGGAATATTAAATGTTTTGAAATAGATTATTATAAATATTGTAACATTGTCTAATATTTATAAGAATTATATAAACTGGATTACAAAGTTAAAATTATTTATTTAAATTATATAAGTGAGCTTTAAAACTTTAGCAACCATTAAAATTAAAATCTGAATTATTTTCGATATACAAAAAAAAAAATTGAAAAAAAAAAATAAATAAAAAAATGAAATATTTTTTCCGCCAAAATCAATTATTTTGTCAAAACAAGCAGAAAGTTTTTTGAATCATTCAATTCGGATACTTAATTCTCTCAAAAACTGCTAGTTTTTGTACGTTTAGCTCCGTACGCTCGGAACGGCTGAACCAGCCTTTGCCAAAAACTAATCAGCATATCTCCCTATCAATACTTATTTTGCGAAACAATAATCACGAGAACTTCAAGTTTTATAAGTTAATATTAACTATATAATATTTGCTTAATAAATATAAATAATGAAAATAGTATAATAAGTGCAAAGTGCGATAATGCTAGAAATGATTTGCATGCAACATGCATCTAGTAAAAATTAATAAAAACAATTATAATTAGGTATACACTATTAAGTATAATTATTAAGATATATAATAATTAATAACATGCAAAGATTATACATATTTTTCCTAAGTTCATCTTATTATTTGTGCAAACCATGAATAGTTTTTCTATTAAATCATAAAATCAAAGTTAATTATGAATGTTAAATTTATTGTTTGGTTAATACTTTAATCGAGATGAAATTTGAAACGTAATGAAAATATTTCTTATGAAAATTAAATCGATTGAATGAAAAATATGTGAATTAAATTATAGTTTTAATGTAGATTAATGATGAATTAAATATATATTTCGTCGTAGATTCCTAAAACCAATTACCAAATTTTAATGATAATCTTATACATCATTTACTACTTTTATTTTGTAGTTAATTATTTGTTATCTGTTTTTTAAAAACCTCTTTGTAAATTATATGCTAGACTTATTAAGACGAAAGAAATAGCTGTGATAAAATGCTTATTGCAGAGTCAATTCTATGATATAATTTTTTATAACTAAATAGTATTTACGAGTATAATACTAAAAAAAACGAATAAATAAAAAATGTAATTTTTTGTTACTTTGCAAATTTTTAGTTATTAAATACGTTTTATTCTAGAGGGCATTAATAAGGGTATTGTCAGATATTCTAGTCTAAAGGCATGAATTTTATGCGATTTTTTGAAGGACTATAATAAAAAATGCAAAATTTTTACAAACTTATTATTTTATAAGTTATTAATTAATGTTTTAAAAACACAGAAAAAAATAAAAAAAATAGTTGTGATTCTTGCAAGTGATGAAGTGAAGGACTTAAAAAATTGGCACGTGATCCTGATTTTATTTCTCCAAATAACACAATAAAAAATATTAATAATCTAGAATGATAAATAATGGACAAGTTAATTTTCACAAAATAGCAATGTTAGAAAAAAATTACAAATACAAAAATACAATTTTTTTTGATACTCTCGATTTTTATAAAAATCGAAATTTGGGGTTGAGTGTAGTTCATACTGATAAGCAGACTATAAAAAACACTCTGTAAAAATTTCAAGTAAATCGGTCCAGTAAAATTTAAAAGATCGTGAAAATGGTGTGAATTCGAAGAAAAACGCGTTAAAGTTTCGCAAAGGAAGGAAATAGCCAAGGGTTATTGAGATTAAGGGGCACACCTAGTGTGAAATTTTCAAATAATCGAATTTGAATTTTCCATATTTCGATAATCGATATACAAAATCGATAGCTTAGATAGTTTTGAGTTACAGCCATTAAAGAGTATATATATATATATAGTATATAGTATAATGATCATTTTATCTTTTTTCGCGAAACAGCATTTGCTGAATTTGCTACAGCGATTACTCAAAAACAAATGATCCGATTACTATCAAATTTTTTACATGTTCTATATATAGTCCTCCGTAAATGAACTATCGATTTTTTTATCTGATTAAAATTCGAATGTGGCAGGCTAAAAACAGCCAAAATTCGACTTTTTTTAAAAAACGCCGCCATTTTGTCAATTTTTGATTTTTTTTTTTTTCGTAGTTCATTTACAGACAATATTATCTAGTTTAACGAGATTTTTTTTTAAATTTATCCATGTAGAAGGACGGAATCACTGCAGCAGTGAAGGGCCTTTTTTTGTGACGCTGTTGGAGATCGACAGAAACTTAAAAAATATTTAATTTTTTCTTCTTACTACGTATTTTTAAAACATGTTATAAATATATTCCTAAAATTTTGAAATGATTGATAAAGTAGTTTTTTTTATATGAATTCCCAAAAATCACCTATTTTTAGGCGTGTTACACTGGTTGTGCCCCTTAAAAGTACGTGTATAATAATAAGAGAATCAGTTCTTTAAAAAAAGCTGAATTTAGGAACAGTAGACCCTCTATCGAGTGCGGAAAATACTAAATCAGGGTAAGCAACATATTTTGTGTATCACTAGAAAAAGCATATTACGACCCCAAATTAAATACAAATTAATAAAAAATCAACTTACACAAGCTTCTACATACGTTACAGCCGATACATTTTCTCGTGCCGGACAATAGTTGTCCGGCCGCCATCTACAATGGTTTTTGTTAGCAAATGAATAATGTGTACATACACAGTGCCGGTTTTGTTTTCTGTACGCTATAGTGCGGTCCACGCTCACCCTGTTGTCGACCGCCGGAACCACCAAGACCACCAGGACCACCAGAACCGCCGAGCGGGGGTAAGTGGTGACCCAGATCGCCGACGTCGTCGTCGAAGTCTTCTTCTTCCTCGTCGAAGTCATCGGAGTCTTCCTCGGAGTCGTCCAGGATCGGACGGGGCCCCATCTTGCTCCAACTGGGAGGAGACACGTTGATGGGGCGGTGAGAGGTCGAAGATACGGGGAAATTGCCGCCTCTGTTCACGGGCTGCAGGCGCTCCACGGTGGTGACGCCGCTGATGGGGTAAGACGGTTTGCGGTGGTTGTTGGAGGAGGACGATGCAGATGAACCCGAGGTGTCTTCTAGAAAAAAAATGGACAAAAGTAAATATTAGTAAATTTTAATTTTTTGAAGCAAGAGTTTATGTTTAAGGACGTCCACTAATTACGTGAGCCTTAAAGGGGTTTCACAAAAAATTATGAGATATCACGTGGGGAAGATGAAGAACTAGTTAGATATCAATCAATTTAAAAAAAAGTCCAAGTATTTCAAAAACAAATCAGAAATGTTTACGATTTTTTTTTAGTAAGGGATCGTTCAAGTATTACGTAAGCAGATTTACTACAATTATTTACCCCCCCATCCCCCTTGTCAGTAAAAGTAAACAAAGCTCTTACTCCCTACCCCCATGCTTACGTAAACGTTTTTGCAATTAATGTATTGTTTTTTTAAATATTCTAATGATTAGGTTATAATTATAATTTTAAAAATAAGAAAATAGATTTAGGATGTAGAGATTTTACTGATATGGTATTCAACATAGAGTAACAAAATTATTATAATCTCACGAACACAATAAACTTATTTTAAGTTTTTGGTACTGGCAAAGAGAATGTGAGGTTGCCATTTGGTAAAAAATAAAAATACTACCTATGACGTAATCATCATCTAGACACCCCTGCCCCCCATGTCAACCCATAATAAGCAATCAACAACCCCCCGCCCCCCTATAGTGCTTACGTAATACTTGAACGGCCCCTAACTATAAATACACGCAATGTTTGATGAGGGAGGGGGGAGGTAATTTTTTTTTTTTTAAAATATCGCCACGTATCACCAATGGAGGGGAGGAGGCAAAAAAACCTCAGAAATTGCTTACGTAATTCATAGATGCTCCCTTGCTTGCAAAAAAAGCCGATTCTACTAATTTTATGTTTTCTTGTCTCTTTATTCTAAATGAATGAGACTAAAATTGAACTAGATGAAATTGGCATTCAGCCTTAAGGCAAGTTGCATAAACTTCCTGAAATGTGTAAATTGGCTTAATAAACCGAAATTGAAATTTAGATATTTAGATAAAATTTTCAACTGTCTATTTCAAAAATAAAGTTATCGCTATCAAATAAATCTAAACATTGGAATTTCGAATTGAATTTTCTCAAACACATTTAAATTAAGTGTAATTATATTAATTATAGTGCACAGCCATGTGCTTGCATGTCCTAAAATTGTAGCTTATTATTTTAAATTTTTGTGAATTGATAATATTTGAATCATCACATCACGGAAGCAAATTTTGACTATAATATTTTCTCAAACTTTGATGAATTTTTAACATTAAACTATTCGTCGTAGGGCCGTAACATTTTAGTATTTTCTATAAGACTATGATATCTATCGTCAAGAAAAGCTTCATAAAATCGGCAATTTTCTTTCTGCGACAGTTAATTACGAGAAAACATCCCGGTAGATTTTTACCTGAAACTAATCGGTATCATTCCCGACTAATGTCTTTCAAACAGTTTTCGATTTTTTAAAAACGTGGACAAAATTTTTTTCACTTTTCTGCTATTTACAAAGAAACGGCTCAGGCGATCGTCGCACAAAACTGAGAAAAGATAATCCACATCAAATTCATCAATTGGCTTCTAAAGTTTTGAAATCAGTTTAGGCATTTTTAAGCAAACGTTGATGAAAGTTCTAATCTAGACAAACGCCAAAGAAAAATCGATACTAATTTTTGCAAACTTTGACAAATTTTTAAAATTAAACGACTTGTCGGTAGAGCCGTAATATTTTAGTATGATCTATAAGACTATGGTATTTACCGTCAAAAAATGTAATAAGAATCTTCGAAAAAAAAAATTTATCACTTTACTGCAAGAAAAGGGCGCAACCGATCTTTACCAAAAACTAATTAGCACGATTCCCAACCAATATCTTTCGAACGGTTTTTGAATTTTCAAAATCGATTTAGAATTGCGGGCTAAATGTAGACGAAAATTTTTTCACTTTTCTGCTATTTACAAAAAAAAAACGGCTTGGTTGATCGTCGCGCAAAATTGAGATGCATCAGTCCTCATCGAGATACATCAAATGGCTTTTAAATTTTTGAAATCGTCAATTTACGGCAAAAAATCTTTTCCACATACACACATACTTTTCCTTCGGTCTCATTCAATTCAGAATGGCTTGAAACGTCGAGAAAACATAAAATTAGCGAATAGGATTTTTTGATGAAAACACAAACTTCCCCTTCGAAAAGTTAATGAAAGCATCATTTTTTTTCTCTTCATGCAAGTTACTGTACCTTTAATTCCTCCAGTTTTATCTTCTACATTTCTAAATTTTGTATACTCAAATTACGATCGATTTTAGATCCAATTTTAATCGTCACCATCAGCTTAATAATATAACGAAATTATATTTTCAATAAAGACCATTTTATTGACTATTGGCTTTAATATCTCATACGATATTGAAGTTAAATCTGTCATAAAACTTTATTAATGGAGCTTATGGTTTTATCCACAATGACTCCATGGCAAGTATTTAGATGATTCAATTTATGAGTCTAGACAATGACCGAGTAAAAGCCTTGTGGGCGTTTTCCTGCACATTTTATAACAGATACATGGACAAGATTCAGAACATAAAAAAATATGCATTTTAAATTATGTTTATAACAATTCGCTTAAATTCTCTTTCTCGAAGGTAACCCAATGGTTGTTTTAAATACTTTGATATATTTTTTTTAAAAGGCAACCCAATGGTCTTTCTATCTATTGACTCAGTGGTTTTGATATATTTTTTTTTATCATTTACGTAATGTGATGTGTAATGATGGGGTACTATGAGCTTATTATTAGGTCGTTTAGAGCACTTGTTGGTGATTAATTGACTGCAATTAAATAATAACACTGGAGACGCATTGCAAATAGTTTGTATGTATCTCGATTCTTTAATTAGTGAAGTAACAGACAGCTGACTGCTGCAATGCAATATAATTTTGCAAGTCAACTACATGTGAACTCAATCAATCTTATTGAGCAGCGGCTGGTGTAAATAAATGGTGATAGGAAAACATTTTTTGACTATATAACATTAAACGCGTTTTTCTCAAAACTGTGTTTTTCGATGCTATACCCACGATTTATCAACTATTGCAGAACCGATTTACTTGAAAATTTTTCAGAGTCTTTTTATGGACTCTCTTTAATATCAACTAAAAATCAAATCAAATTTTTTTGGCAGACTTCAGGCTCAATTCATGGGTATGGTCGGGTGTCAATTTTTTGAGACTCTCCATCTTTCAAAATTAAAACTTTGACATTTTTTAATTTTTATATTTTCTTATAATTTCCAAATTATTAATTAATGACTTGTAAAAAAATAGTATTGTTTGCCTGTTGTGCCACCTTCTAAAAATTGCATAAAATTCGTGCCTTTTATAATTAGACCAGACTCGCTTAAATTAACTTCCCTAACTAATAAGGAGAAGTTTGTTTTCATCAAAAAATCCGATTCTCGACGTTTCAAGCTATTATGAATCGAATGAGACCAAATTTGGAAAAAGTATGTGTGTGTGTGTAAACAGATTTTATGCCGTAAACCGACGTTTTCTTAAAAACGGCTCGCCCGATTTCAAAAATTTAAAAGCCATTCGATGTATCTCGAAAAGGACTATTGTTTGTCAGTTTTGTGCGACAATCAGTCAAGCCGTTTCTTTGTAATTTAGAAAAAAGTGTTAAACTTTTCGTTCACATTTAAGCTCATACTACCAAATCGATTTTAAAAAATCAAAAACTGTTCGAAAGATATTAGTTAGGAATGATACTAATTAGTTTTAGGTGAAAATCTACCGAGCCGTTTTCTTGTAATTAACTGTTGAAAAAAAAATTTAAGCCGATTTTTATGGAACTTTTTATGGCGATATATGCCATAGTCTTTTAGAACTTACTGAAATATTACGGCCGTACGACAAGTAGTTAAATTTTAAAAATCATCCAAGTTTGAGAAAATGAGTAGTTTTTTTGACGTTTGGTAATAATAAAATTAGACGATTTACTTGGTATAACGATAGATTACTTGGTCTTAATGAACGTACTAGACCAACAAAGTCCTACGGATACTGGTTCAGTTGTAAAAATCATTGATTTGTGAAAATTTGCTTTTAGAAAATACACGGAGTTAACGTGTTCGTCGAAAGTTCATGTAACTTGCCATAAGGCAAAATACCAACACCAACTAGTTTTATTTGGCGGGGTACGACTTAGGCAACCTTACCCTATATAATTATTATTGGAATCAAAAATAGTATTGAATATGAATAATAAACATCATTAAATGACATTCGTAGTTACCTATGGTATAAACTCCAGGAATAAATAAAATTCAACTTACGATTAATTCCTTCTCTCGATAAACAATCTTCCCACTCAGTCTTCGATAGTTTATCATCATGATCCAAATCGCATGCTCTTCCAAAAGTTCTTGCACATCTTCTTGGTTTAACAATCTGAAAAGCAGTAAATACATGCAATTATAGATTTATTTAAAATAAATAATTTTCATCTTACCTTTTTCACAAGTCTTTTAAGTTCTCGATACTCATTCTTGTCAAGCCATCCGTCTTTATTACTATCCATTGATGAAAATTTCCAGTCGACAACTATTTGATCGTCGTTATTACCATTTGAGGTAAAAGATCCACTTTGTGACCTCTGATATTCGGTTAGAAATATTTTTATAAGATTCATGTTGAAGGATGCTCGGTCTGATTTGCTACAACCTGGAATAAATAGATAGAAAAAATCCTAATGTGTAAAAAAAGTAATTAAAAAGGTTAATGTAAAAATAATCATAGAAAAATGTAAAATAAAACTCAATTTTTTCTGTTTAGCAGGAAACAAATTATAGTCTCTGACTTTGACTTAAATAAATGTGTTTTTTTATTTTATTTTTTATTTATTTAATTATTTATATATTATTTTCATATCTCAGTCAGACAGAAGTGTCGATGAGAGATTATGAAAACAAATTTCATATTTTTTATTTACAATTTGGGATCAATAACCTATATATTAAAATTCCATTAATTTCATCGCCCAATGAACATCTAGCCTAGATCTAGGTATTACTAATCATTAATTAGCATATTTCACTGACAATATAAAAATCAATATTAAAAGAAAACTAGAGCAAAGGTTCAAGAATCATATCGTGAATTAAAGATATAAAATTATTTAAAATCGTTGTACTATTTCTTAAAATTCATCCTTAAATGCAAAATGATTCTAATATTATTAGCCTTTTAAAGTGAGATATAATTTTATAACAACATAAAATTATTGAAAAAAGTGGTTTTACCTTTTTTATTATTTTTCTCTCTAGATGACGATCTCCTATGTGTTGACTTTGCTGTGAACAATAAAAAATATAATAAATATGATTATAAAAAAAAACAATTTTGTTTACTAAAATAAAAATTGAAATAGAATAGCAATTAGAATAACTAGTAATTGAAGTAAATAGCAATTACTAAATATGGTACATTTTTTGGTAATATTTGTAATAGTAACATCATAGGTAAAAATACAATAAGTTTGGTAAAAATATAATAATATGGTACAAATTTACACAAAATGCCTCATATAAATCTTGCTCATTTTTCGCCATATAAATAATCAATGCTGCTGATACAAACAATTATTTTGATTTAATATCAAAGAGATTTTATATGATGCATCTGGATAATTTCTTTGACAACACAACGTGTTTAAGGTCTTGATGTTTCAGTAAACATTTGTACAAATTAAATTCACGCCAAGCAATTCATTTACACCAATGACTATTTTGATTTATATCATGAAGTCAGTAATAATTATTTTTTTTATTCAATTTATTCTGCAATCTGTTAGATAAATATATAAATAAACTAGTGGTGTGACAAGGCAACTTGCTGGAACTTCCAGTACCGTAATTAAACATTCGAGACATGAAAATAATCAATGTTTTGAATAATTTCACATAGATTATTATAAATGCATACTTTAAACTTAAAAGTGCTTTTTAAATTAGGCGACGAGCGTATTTTACGAACTGAATTTTTTTTTGGAAAATATGTGTTTTTTTTAACTTTTTTGAGAATTAAGAAATTTTTGAAAATATCCGATTTTTTGAAAATTAAGAAATATTCTCAAATTTTTGTATGAAACCGTTTTTTCAAATGTCGGTGTTTTTTGAATTTTTTCGAAATCTGTTTTTTTTTTGAAAATGAAAAATTTCGAAAATTTGAATTTTTTCAAAAATTTTGATTTTTTTTTGTTGAAAATTTTCATAATTACGAAATTTTCTGTAAAAGAATTTTTTGCACACTGTCTACTCAAGCAAAATGTTTTTTGAATTAATTTAATCGGATGATCCGTTTTTACACCCTTTGCGCTCCATACCTCCGAAACGGCAAAATCGCCTCGCGATCGAGTACGAACCGAATGATGAGGACATTTGTTTGAACCATTTACGTAAATTTTAAAATTAAAATTCTTGGTACCAATGTCTAATGAAAATGTTTGACCGCCAAATGGCATTTATTTAACTTATTCTTATTGAGAGTCCATAACCGCTAAATCTGCCTTTCCGAAAATTTGAACAATTCCTAGTTTAGTCAATATAAATAAAATGTCTTTAGAATTATTCGAATCGGACTCTTCGTTCTCTCAAAAACTGAATTACCATTTTTGATTCTTTTTGCCCCGTATCTTCGAAACGGCTGGCCTTGTCTCTGTCAAAAACTAATCAGCACATCTCCCTATCAATAGGAATCGAAAGTTTTTTGAATCATTCAAATTGGTTGATCAGTGCGGTCGAAAACGTGGATGAATAATTGTATTCATACAAACACACACACATCCATTTCTTCTAAGGTATGCCAAAATGTTCAGAAACCTTCAAAACGTCCAGAAATGCAAAAAATTTCAATTTCGATTTTTGGACGATTACAATAACTTACCCTACGGGAAGTTAATACAACAGGTCTTGCTAGCTTAAGAGAGGTATTTGTGAAAACAATTATGTTGATCATATTACCTTTCCTGGCGCACAGAGGTCTGCCAGTGCGTACACTCGTATTAGGGATAGGCTGTCCACGTCTGGTGACACACCAGCAACCCGATCCGGCCAAACATTGCACCGGGGAATACCCGCCGTCTTTCCTGCAACGCGGAATGAATTGAAAGTTGACGCTTCCTGGACGTTTAGAACGCTGTTCCAAGGCGTAGGCTTTGCTCGCAAGACAAGCATCTGAAATAGTAACAAAAATTTGAGTTATTAAAACAATAGCTGTTAGAGAGACTTCTTCTTAACCTACATTATCATCACGAGGATGAATTGATTCGACCACTCGACTCACCTTTACACTGTCCGTTATGTTTCAATGTAACCGCGAAGCCGAGACATTGCTGTCTCTCCAGGTGACACTTTGATTTGTAAGTGTGATTATCGGAGCCGCAAACGGCTCTGAATCTCTGAAACCTGGTCGTCTCTATGGAGCGAGATGTACGAGACACCGCCACCGCTTTGTTCATGCACTCTCGCATGCGGATGGAGCAATCGTTCATCTGGAATGGATAGAGGATTGAAATCAGATTGGGAATAAGGAATGAGAAATTTGAAAAATATTAAAACTAAAAAAATCTTTTGCAAGAAAAGTTTATGTTTTTGCCAAAAAATCTGAAATGCTAATTTTACGTTTTACCGACGTTTCTGAATGGAAAGACACCAAATTAAGATAAAGTAGGTGTGTGGAACCAATTTTTGACTTTTCGTCGGCGTTTTGGCTCCAAAAATCTAAAACCTTCTATATGGGCTCGATTAGATTAACTCATTAATCAGGAATATAATTAATAAAAAATAACATTTTACATCTAGAAAAGATTAGAAGTAACATGATTGATAATTTGCTATTTGAAAATTCATATATGTATCTCAGTGGGTGCGGTGCGGAAGCTTATATATTACTCCGACTTACGAGTATTTTGAGATACGAGCCTCTAAAAGAGCGATTTGTTACTTTGACATATAAGCATAATTCGAGACACAAGCTTAAAATGATTTTTTTCTAGAACTAGTGGAGTGCATGGCATCGTGCCTTAAGGCAAATTGCTGAAACTTCCCGTACCGTAATCATCTTGGTACAAAAACCAAAAAAAATATATACACGTTATTAAAATCTCTATAAAATATTTGATAATTTGATGTACATATGTCCAATAAATATTTTTGACCGCCAAATGACTTTTTTTTAACATATTTTTATTGAGATTCCATAACCGCTGGACCTGCCTTCCCAAAAATTTAATCAGTTCCTCAAGTAAAATGTTTTTTGAATTATTAAAATCGGACGCTCCGGTTCTCTTAAAAACTGAGTTAGCGTTTTCGGCACTTTTTGCCCCGTATCTTCAAAACGGCTAGACCTGCCTTTGCCAAAAACTAATCAGGACGTCTCCCTATCAATACGAATCGAATGTTTTTTGAATTATTCACATCGGTTGATACATGTTTCCGAAATCGGTGACGAAAATTTGTATCCGCACACACACACATACATCCATTTTTTCTAAGGTATGCCAACATATTCAGAAACCTTTGAAACGTAAAGATATATAAAAATTTTCATTTTCGATTTTTTTGCCATTACTATAACTTACCCTACGGTAAGTTATAAATAGACCTTTCTTCGCCAATCCTAAAAGCCAAGAAAGGTGTTGTTAAATTAAATTCATAATAAGAATAAATAAAATCTTAGTCTACTAATTAGTAATTTATTTTTATTTCTTAAACTGTGAAAATTCGAGATCTTAGAAATAAGCCCAATAGATTTTTATAACATTTCAGGAAAAATAAAGTTTTATGTTTGTCATAATCATATTAGGCTCTTTGGGTTACCAAGATAGCTCTAAATCGATTCTAAATTTCTAGAGCCCTCAGGGCCTTCATTTAATTGCGTGATCGTTTTTTTTAAGGATTTTTGGACACCTCCCTTTCCTTTGATGATAACGTAAAGAAATAAATTTAAATATTTTTTCTCGTCAATTTCTGTCTACGTTTTGTATTTGAGTATCGTAATCTTACCCATGAAATTTGTGTAATTTTCATAAAAATTTTGTTTACTTTTTTTTAAATCTTTGCCCTCATCTATTGGAAGTTCTGTTCCATCCATGTACATGATTATTATTGCCAATTATATTTTTTTAGAGAGATCTTTTACTTGCTTCGACTACGAGAAAAAATCGAGATTCAAGCATTAAGTGAGTAACTGTTTTCTTGTAAATGGCAAAATGAAAATATGAAAAGTTTCGTTAGTCATAACAACCTACCACAGAAATTTTTGGCATTTTGACCAATTATTTGTCTTAAATATTTTGCTGATAAGGTCGTTTGGATTTTTAAATTAGCATCATCCTAAAGCCTATAGATTTTATTCAAATTGTGCGACATCTCACATTGATGTAGAAGATTATAATGACAAATATATATATATATATATATATATATATATATATATATATGTATATATTATATATATATATATATTATAATACATGATGCAAAACATATAAAAAGTAAATCGTACACGGATTTGGCCTTAATGATTTTAAAATGCGGGAATGCATGGAATTCTGTTTGACCAGAATGGACTTTGTCCACGTTTTTAATAACGTTTGTTTAGCTTTAGTGGTTTCTTTACATTGCAATCATTATATTATTATTTTATAGGAATAGAATAATATTTATATATCAATTTAGTAGTATTAATTGAATTAAGAAACATTACATAATTACAAAAGCATTATTAATGAACATAATTTTTTTCTGACTTTGTTTTACTTAAGATACAATTCTATACAAAAGTAATTTAGCTTATTCGACAAACTTAATTTTTTTTATATTCCAATAAACCTATTTAATTCTGAGAAAGTATAAAAACAAATCGCCAATAATTTGTAAAAAAAATCTCTGAAGCAAAAGCCTCTTGTTCTTACATTTTGATTTTAGTCCTCATCAGTTACATTCGAACGCTGTTTTTTCGAATATAATCTAAATTGGTCAAATAGAATCGAAATAATATAAATATTTATATCGATTTTGTGATAGACATCACTTGATGAGCTGCATGCCAAAGCGTTTTAAAAGATTTATTTGATCCGGTTTTATGGCCCGATATTAACAGAGTAAACACTTTTGACAGTTTGAATAATTGTCCAAGTGTCATTCTCTGAATATTTTATATTCTTTTATTGAATTTTCGATATTTAATCATGTTATTTGATAATGAACGCAGTAATGATGATCTAAAGCAAACATGAAGTTTATCATATATTTGCATGCCAAAGCCTATATCTGAAATTTTGCTCGTATGTCGAAACAACGAATTATTCCTATGGTGGTTCGAATCTATAAACTTTTGTAAGTCGGGGTATATAATATAATGATGAAAGAGTAAAAAAATATGATTAAAATCCATAAATCTATATCTAGTTATTAACTGACAATAAAACCCATACTTGAATTAAACATAAGTTCCAATAGAAGATGCTGAAGATGCTAAAGATTTTGAAACAAACTAAATTTTAAGAAAAAATACAAAGTTTCTGGAGCTAAAATTTCGATAGTGGAGTACAAATCGTAGACAGAAATTGACACAAAAAAATTATATCCGTGCTAAAGCCCTAAGCATCAACGCTCTAGAAATTTAGAGTCTATTCAGCGTAGTTTTAGTAACCCAAAGGGGCTAACATTGTTTTACATTTTTAATACTTGAAGCATCAAAAAACTTCCCAAATGTAAATAATATCAGGGTCGAGTTATGGGTTTGTTAGAATTTTTCAATTTTCCTGAAATTTTATAAAAACTATCGAGATTTATCTCGATTTATTTTATATTTAATTAAGCACTTAACAACTCAATTGCCTTAAGCTAATTTTTAACTTGCCATAGGGTAAGTTATTGTAATCGTCCATAAATCGAAATTGAACATTTTTACATTTCTTCACATTTTGAAGGTTTCTGAACATTTTGGCATACGGATATGTATGGATACAATTTTTTGTCCACGTTTTCGGGCGCACGGATCAACCGATTTGAATGGTTCAAAAAACATTCGATTCCTATTGATAGGGAAATGTGCTGATTAGTTTTTGGCAAAGGCAGGTCCAGCCGTTTCGGAGAAACAAAGCAAAGAGTGCAGAAAATACAAATCGAGTTTTTGAGAGAACGCAGTATCTGATTTGAATGATCTAAAAAACATTCAATTTGCAATGATTGGGAAAAGAGGTGATTAGTTTTTGGCAAAGGCAGATCCAGCCATTTCAAAGATACAAGGCTAACTGTGCAAAAAATGGCAGTTTTTGAGAGAATTAAGCGTCCGATTTGAATTATTCGTTTAGAAAAAAATAATTTGATAATTGCTTTTAGGAAAAAAATGGTTTCAAATGTTTTTTTTTTCAAAAAAATTTTTTTTGGTATATCGAAAATAATTCAGATTTTGATTTGAATTTTGTTCTAATATACTTTAAACAAATAATTTCAACTTTGCAATTCAGTTTAAATAGTTCTTATAAATATTAGACAATTTTACAATATTTATAATAATCTATTTGAAAACATTTAATATTTCTCAAAAATTTCCAGTTCCAGTAATTTGCCTAAGACACGCTGCCATACACCACTAGTTTAAATTTATCTATTGTAATTTTGATCTAACAACATTCTTGCTAGTCTAAAAAGCCTATTCTTATACTTCTGACCTCACTTAGCAAACAATTTTTCACGTATAAAATAAATATAGGAATATATAAAATTTTCTCTCTAGAATCCTTAAATATCGTCCTAAAGGTGATATAGACCTTACAATTGATTAATTTGTGTGTTTTCTGGTCGTGGTTCGATGATCATCGTGATTTGCTATCCTCTAACTTTGAAAGTCAAGTTTCTGAATTGGTCTATTATCACGAAATGAAAACTTTTCTCAAACAAATTTCTTTAAAAATTATCAGAAATCACTTCTACCGCTTCCCAGGTTCCATGTAAAATTCTCACATTACATCGCCCATATTTCTACCATACAAACCAGTATATGGAGAAATAAAAAGAAAAATTCCTGCACGACAACTACTTCGATTACTAAATCAGTATATGTATTATCAATTATTAATGTTACATAAATTTATATCTCCGCATTCGGATTCTGTCTAAGAGAAGAAGATATGCATAAGTTTTGCTGACATTGTATGTAAAAAATAAATACTTGTCGCATTCCCGGCGAAATTCCAAAATATTCAAAACGGCATTCTTTCACCTTATGTCGTATCTCTTAATCGGATCAGAGGTAATAAACCATTTGTTGTAAATAATTTATGACCAGAACAAAATGTACTCGAATTTCCCGAAGAAGAAGTTTATGTTTTCATAAAAAAAATCCGGTTCGCTAATTTTTTGCTTTCTCGACGTTTCAAGTCATTCTGAATCGAATGAGATTAAATTTGGAAAAAGTATGTGTGTGAACCTATTTCCAAAATAATTTAGTGCAACGATCGGCTGAGCCGTTTCTTTGTAAATA